CTATTGTTGATAACATTTGACATAAGGTAAAACGGTGAACCTCGAAAAAAAAAACCTGCATGAGACAAATGTGCGTTCTTGCCCCTTAAAAATCATGAGACAAATGTGCTTTTTTGTCCCTTGAAAACTTTGATCGGAGCACATTTGTCACACAAATAAGTTTTTTAGGGTAGACATTTGAGGTCCCATTTGTCTCACGTGGGACAAATGCGACCGCATTGGTCTTACGTGAGACAAATGTGCTTCGAGACAAATGTGCTCTTACAAAGCTGTGTTACAATTGTAAGATGTTTGTTCAAGTTTATCTTAACGTTTATCTGAGAAAATAGTACATTGAAGCAATATGTTGAAGAATATTCACTTTAAATTACAGACGCATCTGATTATTCTAAATATTGTCTTAAAATGGGCCAATTGGAGAATGTTTGTGATGAAGAAGGTAAGAATGAGACAAAAGGGTTAAAATAAACGTGAACGGATATGAAATCAATATTCATCTCGTTAAACTTCACAGAAGTATTTTATTTGAGACATAAAATTTCAGACATGTTGTAAAGCAGTGAAACTTCCTGCCTGAAAAAACAATACACATATCTGGTAACACTGTAACTATATCATACGTAAACAATGCCACGTGTAGAGTGTTTTGATGGGAATCAGAAGTTTTCATGAAGGAATTATTTTCGGGGCATCATGCATTCACCTTTTGATTGAATCGTGTTGAGCTTACTTTATCGCTTCTTATTTTCTCTATTTTATCGCATCATCAGCGTTGTTTGTGCCGTGCGAAAGTTGTAAAAAGTGGCCCGTACATTCAATCAGGGTACCCGGGACATATCTCTAAAACTATAAGAGGTATCAACATGAACTTGTACAGTAAGATAGATCTCATTAAATATAAAGTGCAGTGCAAAGTACCATAACTCTGCCTTGCCTTATTTTGGAGTTATTGTTCTTTGTTAATATTTCTTATACTTTTCTGTGTACAAAACCTGCTCGGGGAGCATCACCCGGTTCATTCGGTTCTTGTTATTGTTGCAGCATGCCAGGTTTGCTTTTTAAACGTTTGCATTTATATTTCACGATACAAGATTAACAAAAAATGTTATTTTAGAGTTCTTTTAATTCATTATATCATTTACAATTTGGAAGTTCAGGTTTTGGCAAAGAAACATCATACGAATGTGAACTGTCTTTTTTTTATAATGTCTCAAGTCAGCCTCAATACACCTTTTCTATTTCTGAGTATTTCCCTTTTTTGATTGATATTTGAAAATAGAATATGAAATTCATATTGACATAGGACTCATCGTGATATCGGGGGGTACTCCTGACCGCAACTGAAAGTTGAAGGTCTTGAGTGCACCTGGCATGGCCTACAGTGCGTGTCATCGCAAGAAGACCTTATTGGAGCTTCTGTTTCCCAGGTCCAGGTCCACGATATAGTAGGCGTAGACCACCATTTCCCTCTAATTTAAAGACATTTATATATTAAAATACATTATAAAATGTGTTTAATTGACTAACATAATAAAACGCTGTAAAGAGTTTATATTTCATTACTCTTTTCTTCTTAAAGAGAAGTGAATGCAACTATATATGTCAGGTAAAGCTATTTTCATTATCTCCCCTCCGTTGTGCACTTTATTACATTGACAGTATTTCTTTTTATTCCCTATCTTTTGTTGTTGTTGAGCAGCAGACTTTTCCATTATACTCTCGTTAGTATTCATTTTCAGATATTTTTTCATTTGCCGTTTAAAAGTTATATCTTAAAAGTAAAGTATCATTTTATGCGGTTCATGTAAAACTTTTATTGTTGCATCATGTCATCTTTGCCTCACCAAAGCTTGCATTTTTATTTCAAGTCGCAAAATGAAGAAACAAAGTTGTTTTATATATGTTTTTCTCTTTTTTATTTCATTTACAATTGTTAGTAAGAAATTATCTTATGACTAAAATATCATATCTTTTTACAGATGAAAATATATGCGGACAGGAAAATCTAAATGCAACTTCTGCAAAAGATCACTTACAATCTTCCAATCTTTGCACTTCGGACTTGTCAAGTTCTAAGAATACAAAGCTACCAGTCCGCGATGGTAAAATATCATTATCTATTCAAGAGATATATATTGCAAATTTACGAAGGACAACTCACTATATTTTGTCTGGTTTGGGCGAAAAAATATCGTACGAATTTGAACTTTCTTATGTTCCTTTTTTTAGGTTGGTCCAATCACTTCTATTCCTTTTCATAACTATGTATTTCTTGTTTTTCTTCACATTAAAAAGTAATATAAGACAATCAAGGTATATTTCTTTGGTTCACAGAAAACTTTTATCGTTGCATCATGCCACTTTTGCATTTATTTGCACTTAATATGCATTTATATTTCACGATACAAAATGAAGAATAAAAGCTACTGTAACGTTATCTTCATTCATTATGTTATTGCCAATTGCAAGCAAGATATAATCATATGAATTGAATATCATTAATACTTTTACAGATGAAAACCTACACGGAGATGAAAATATAATGATTGCGACTTCCAAAAAAGAACGGTTATATCCTTCTTACTTTGGCATTTCGGACATGACAAGTTCTAATATAACAAATGAACCAGTCACTGATGGTAAACATAATTATATATTTAAGAGCAATAAATTGCTTGATATGGGACCGTATTTGGTCAGTGAAAGGAGACCTTTTTCCAACAATTTTTGATTTAGTGTACACGAGATGATAGCATTTATTGAGCTATCGTCAAAGCTACATTTAACTAACTTACACATGTATTTTATTAATTAAGAGATTTCACAACCATCTATGTACATAGTGCGTGCAAAGCATGGTTAAACGCGAGATATTTGCTCAGTTGCATTAATATTTGAACACCCCTCGCATTGCAAATGAACGAAAGATAACGCACGATATTTCGTCTGGTTTTGGTGAAGAAATATCATACGAATGTGAATTGCCTTTTATCTATCTAATCAGTTTTCATGTCGGCCAAAATAATACTATTTCTTTTCTTATTTTTTTACTTCTTTTGCTTAATATTTAAAAGTAATTTTAGACAATCAATGTATATTCCTTTGGTTCACATAAAACTTTTATTGTTGCATCATGCCACATTTGCATTCAAAAACAAATTGAATTGATATACCACGATACAAAATGAAGAATAATTAAATGACCTCAATATCATTAATGCTTCTTACAGATGAAAATATACACGGAGTGGAAAATATAAATGCGACTGTTAAAAAAGAACGCTTACAATCTTCAACCTTGAGCAATTCAGACTTGCCAAGTTCTAAACTTACAAAAGAATCAGTCACTACTGGTACGTATCATTATTTATAAAGAGATATAAATTGCAAAATGAACGGAAAGGAACACGAGATAATTTGTGAATCAGTATTTGGTTGTTAGAAACTGAAAGATGAACTGTACATTTTAGTTCTGTTTATTAACAGTTATATATTGCAAAAGAGAACAAACACACGCTCGTTTCTGTAATGAAATTCTCGTTTGGGTAGAAAATATATAGAGGATAATGAAATAGTTTAAGTTCAATACTGAATTTATTGTACGAGTTGAATAACATTATATTATGCGAGCCTCTGGCGAGCATAATATTTTTTAATTCAACGAGTTCAATGAATTCATTAATGCACTTACACAAAATTCATATTCTATTTATCACAAACCCTAAATAAAGACTGTTTTAAGAGAAAAAAAGTCAAATTTCATTTATGCGTCTTTAGTATAACGCTAATATTTAGTGCGTCTTTGCACTATGTTTGTATAACGCTAATGACGTCACGGCAAAATATATGCACGACCGTGCAATACTATTTTTACTGAGTCGCAATCGGCCCGGGTCTGTGATAATATACGGATGTTGACTGTCTCATATCATTTTTTATTTCTTCTGTTGACGCAAAGGTTAATGTTCTTTGTAGATCATTATTCACTTGACATGCAAAAGTTATATCTGGACATTAATATATGCTTTTAATGTTCCTATAAAACTTTAATCGTTGCATTATGCCAATTTAAAGTTTGCATTTATATTTCACGATACAAAGTGAAGAAAAGGGGTCACTTTTAATAAACATTCTGTTAATTCATTTTGTCATTTACAATTACTAGTAAGAAATCATCTTATGATTAGAAAATCATATATTTTGCTTACAGATAAAAACTTAGAAGGAGAGGGAAATCTAAACGAGACTTCCGAAAAAGAACGCTTACAAGCTTCCAATTTAGGAACGTCAGACTCGTCAAGTTCTAAAAATGCAAACAAATCCGTCCCCGATGGTAAGTATCGTTTTTTTATATTAAAGCTATACTTTTCAAAATGAACGAAAGATTACTCACGATATATTTTCTTGAATTTCTTGTTCTGGTAAAGAAATATCATACGAATGTGAACTGTCTTAAAGTTTAATACTTTCTCTAGTTGTTCCTTGTATTACTTTTCTTTTTCTTACTTTTTTCGTTCTTTTGTTTTGTATTTAAATGTAATATATGAAATTAATTCATATTTCTTTTGTCTATACATAGCATTTATGTTATCATCATTCCAATTTTGCATTTCAATAATTTGCATTTATACTTTACTATACAAAATAAAGAACAAAATGCTACTTTCACATTTTGTTACATCTAATAGAGTGAGAATTAAAAAAAGGATTGGAGCACCACTCTTAATACCGTATTCCGGTACATACCGGACACGACGTTTGAATGTCCAAATGCTTAAATCTCGCCTTTTCACATACGGAATGAACTTTTAACGGTTTAATTCATCTTTCCACACCGATTCATGTATGATAGTAAAGCGAAAAATTGTAGTAATCGGCGAAAAAAGGTACTGCTCCAATCCTATATTGAGTTAAATCCAATCTAATATGTCATCTCTAATTGCTGTCAAGGAATTATCATACGTTTAGAATATCATTGATACCTTTTACAGATGAAAACATAAACGGAAAAGAAAGTCTAAATGAGACTTCTGAAAGAGCACGCTTACAATTATACAACATTGGAACGTTGGACTTGTCAAGTTCTAAGAATACCAATGAATCGGTCTCTGTTGGTAAGTTACTGATCATTTAAAATATGTTCATTTACATGTAAGAGTAATTTATTGCAAAATAGTACGAACAAACACAAAATATATTTCTGATTTCTAAAGTGTTGCCACAAGATTAATATTCATTTTATCATTTTATTTTCTCATTTGACTTAAGTGATATCTGAAAAATGAATTACGTTTTTTTTTTCCGGTTCATATAAAACGTGTATAGTTGCATCATGCTATTTTTACCTCTCAAGCGTTTACATCAATCTTATATTTCACGTCACAAAATAAAGAAAGAATATTACTTTAATGTTTTTGAATATATTATGCCAATTAGAATTGCTTGTAAGAAATCATAATATAGCTAGAATCTCATTTATTATGTTTACAGATGAAAACTTACACGGAGACAAAAATCTAAATGCGACTTCTGAAAAAGAACGCTTACAATATTCTAACCCTGACACTTCGGAATTGTCATGTTTAGAAAATACAAAGGAACTAGTCCCTGATAGTAAGTATCATTATTTATTTCAAAGTTATTTATTGCAAAATGAATGAAAAGTAACGTAACACAAGATACATTGCCTGATAATTCAGGTTTGGGCAACAAACTATCCTACGAATGTGAACTGTCTTATTATTTTTTAAATTTATCAAGCTGGCCCCAATAATACTATTCGTTTTCTTTTTGTTGTCCGTTTTGCTTTATTTTCAAGGTATTATAATTATATCAATGTATATATATTTTTGTGAATAATGAGTTGGAAGTGTTGGATAATGCCACTTTTGCATTTCAAATATTTTGTATTTTCATTTCACGATAAAAAATGAATAAATAACTGTTACTTTAACATTCTCTATTTTATTATGTCATTTTCAATTCAATATAAGTAATAACCACATGACTAATATGTCATTGATACTTTTGACAGATGAAAACCAACACAGAGAAGAAAATATAAATGCGACTTCAGAAAAAGAACGCTTACAATCTTCCAACGTTGGCATTTCGGACCTGCACATTTCTAAAGGTACAAAGGCACCAGTCCCCCATGGTATGTATCATTTTTATATTTTCCCATTACTGCATTATCATTTTGTAGCAAAATGACTGTTTTCATTGAAAAGTCTCCCGTCACAAGCTCAAATTGATATCAAACTATAAAAACTTCTTCAGTCCTATCAATCTTAGCACAAAAAATTGACTGGACAATTGCTGTTGTAACAACATGCTCAGTCTTAAATGTCCTGTTACCGTGGAAACGAGGGGACATCACTTATTATTTTGAGTTGTTTTTTCCACTTTTTTCAGTGCACATTGATCTGTTGATTACTTTAACAGCAAAACTTGGTCATCTGGTTTTCATCATATTTCGGCGTTTCTTGTGTTTATTAGCCCATTACTTCATGAGCATTTTGTGAAAAATGGCTGTTTTCATTGAAAAGTCTCCCCTTACAAGTTCAAATTGATATAATACTATAAAAACTGCTTCAACACTAATCAAACTTGGCACAAATGTTGACTTGACCATTGCCCTTGCAACAACATGATCAGGCTTAAATTTTCTGTTACCATGGCAACGAGGGGACATCTCAAAATTGCCAAAAAATCACTATTTTTTTCCATCAAAATTGATTTCAAAGTGCTGCAACTTCTCAATAGATTGAGATAGAGTCAAATGCTTTTCAACGTTGGTTACATGTTACCTTATGATCAATCTGGGGTCATTTACAGCCTCTCACAAGTCCAAAATTTTCTTGGAGAAGAGGGGGACTCCGCCCCCCTTCAAAACCCCCCAAACAGAAGGGGGCACATCCCTAACCCTTCTGGCAACCCCCTGATGTATCTTTTTGTTGGGGGGCCGCGTTGAAAAAGAGGTCACGTTTTTAAACAACATTTCTCAAACAAAAACAAGTGTTTGGGCTTAAATAAGGCATTTTTCATCATTTGAGACAACGAAAAAAAGGGGGGGGGTGAAAAAGGCGTTAAAAGGCGTGTATATGAAGTAATGGGTTAAAGAAATATATACAGTCAACTATCGTTATTTCGACATCGTTTTCCTCGAAATTTCGTTATCTCGATGAAAGTTTGAAAGTCCCGATTTTCTTCCTTCCTTATTTATATTTGAAATATTTGTTTATCTCGATATTTCTATTTCGATTCTGAAGTACAAAAAAAAACAAAAACCGCGATTTTTTCCTGAACATTCTGGTTTTGGCAATACTATATTTATTTATACGAATGTTAACTGTCTTAATTTTTCTGATTTCTAGGGTTAGGGTTAGGGTTAGTTGCCCAGGTTAATATTCATTTTCAGACTTTTTTTCACATGATGTTTGAAGGTTATATCGTAACATATCATATATATTATTTTCAGATGAAAACATATACGGAGAGGAAAAACTGAATGAGTTGTCTGAGAAAAATCGCTTACAATCTTCAAAAAATGTAAAGTCATCCTCATCAAGTTCTAAAAATACAAAAGAACCTGTCCCCAATAGTAAGTGTAATTATTTATTAAAAGATGTATTTAGTTTTTTTTAATTAAAGAATTATATATTATAAAAATGAACGTAAGATAACACAAGATAATATTTGTGTGATTAAGTGTGTGAATCAGTCTCTAGTGGTAAGAATGTGATCATTTAAATTATGTATATTAAGATATTAAAGAGCACTTTATTACAAAAAGAACGAAAAACTCAATCTTTTTTGTCTTAAATTCTTGTTCGACCAATGCAATATTGAACAAATATAAAATGTCTAATTTCTTTCATATTTCTGAAGTTGCCGCCTAGGTTAATAGTTATTTATAATATATCTTTCATTTGATGTTCAAAGTGATATCTGCAAGAAAAGAAAACTAACACGATCTTTTTTGTCTGGTGATTTTTGTTTGAAAAAAAATGTAAATAAACGAATGTTAACTGTCTAATATGTTTCTCTCTTTTCTCAAGTTGCTACCAACTTGACGTTTTAAAGTCATACCTGAAAATAAACGTATGTCTTCTTTCGGTTCATATATTTTTTTTATCGTTGCATCACGCCACTTTTGCCACTTTTACCTATCGAACGTTTGCAAGTATATGTCACGATACAAAATGAAGACAAAAATGCATTTATTCATTATGTCAATTACAATTGATTTAGCGTGTGAATCAGTCTCTTGTGGTAAGAATGATCATTTAAATTATGTATATTAAGATATTAAAGAGCACTTTATTACAAAAAGAACGAAAAACTCAATCTTTTTGTCTTGAAATTCTTGTTCTACCAATGCAATATTGAACAAATGTAAAGTGTCTAATTTCTTTCAGATTTCTCAAGTTGCCGCCTATGGTGGCATATTTCTGCCACAAGATAACCTGATACCTAAATAGTTAATTAAGAGGTTAACTAGTAACGTAACTAGTTAACCTGATACCTAACTAGTTAATTAACTAGTAAGTTATATGGTTATCTGGTAGCAGAAATATGCCACCATAACCGCCTATGTTAATATTTATTAACAATATATCTTTCAATTGACGTTCAATGTGATATCCGAAAAGTAATCTGTTTTTATTTTCGTTTCATATAGCATTAGACCATTTTTACCTCCCAAAAGTTTACATTACTCTTTTATTCACAAAATGAAGGAAAAATGTTACTTGAATGTTTTAATGCATTAAATCATCAACAACTGCTTGTAAGAAATCATATTACAAGAAAATTATTTGTTATATTCACAGATGAAAAGTTACACGGAGATGAAAATGCGACTGATGAAAACGATTGCATACACTCTTATAACCATGGCTCTTCAGACTGGCCAAGTTCGAAAAATACAAAGGAACAAGTCCCCGATAGTAAGTATCATTATTAATAAGAAAAGAATATTTAAACGTAACACACTATTTTATTTCATGATTGAAAATAAAAACAACTTTAACATTTTCATCTTCGTTAATTTATTTCCAATTGCATGTAAGGAATCATAATATGACTATAACATTATCTGATACTTTTGACAGATGATAACCAACACGAAGAAGGAACTCACAATATGACTTCAGAAAGAGAGAGCGTACAATCCTCTTACGTTGGCATATCGGACTTGCCAAGTTCTGAAAAGACAACGGAACCAGACCCCGATGGTAACTTTCATTATTTATTAAGAGATATAGATATAAGAATGAACATAAGATATTGCCATATTGTTTGTTTAAATCAGTTTCTGGTGGTCAGAAACTTATCATTTAAATTATGATCATCAAATAGTTATATATTGCAAAAAAAGAAAACTAACACGACCTTTTGGCCTGGTAATTCTTGTTTGAACAAAACAATCTAAATAAACGAATGTTAACTGTCTAATATGTTTCTATCTTTTCTCAAGTTGCAACCAACTTGACGTTTTAAAGTCATACCTGAAAAAAAGGATGTCTTCTTTCGGTTCATATAATTTTTTCATCGCTTCATCATACCAATTTGCCTCCTCTCGAACGTTTGCAAATATATGTCACGATATAAAATGAAGACAAAAATGTTATTTTAAAATGCCTTAACACATTATGTCATTTACAATTGCCAGTAACAAAAAAACACAACTATTTTTTTTGGTCTGGAAATTCTGATTGGGAAATACAATATTAATTGAATATTAATTGCCTAAAATCTATCTGATTCCTTAATTTGCCGCCAAGGTAAATATTTATTTACAATAGATATTTCATTTGAAGTTTAAAAGTGATATCTGAAAATTAAACTCTCTTTTTTGTCGGTTCATATTAAAATTTTATAGTAGCATTATGCCATTTTTACCTCACTCAAGTTAACTTTAATCTTATATTTCACGTTACAAAATGAAGAAACAATGTTACGATAATATATTTTGTTAATTCATTATATCATCCACGACTGTTTGTAAAGAATCATATGACTAGAACATCATTTGCTATATATTTACAGATGAAAAGTTACACGGAGATGAAAATGCGAATGATGAAAAAGATTGCCTACAATCTTCTGACCTTGGCACTTCGCATTGCTCAAGTCCACAAAATACAAAAGAACTAGTCTTCGATAGTAAGTATCGATATTTATTAAAAAGTTATATCTAAACGTAACACAAAATTTTTATTTCATGAAAGAAAAATAAAACAAAAACTTTAACATTCTATTCATCATTAAGTTACTTCAAATTACAAGTACAGAATCATCATATGGGTATAACATCTTTGATACCTTTGACAGATGAAAACCAACACGAAGCAGGAAGGGTCAGCATAAAGGCACCGATTTGTCCGTCCGTCAGTCCGTCCGACTGTCCGTCCGATACTCTTACCCGGGACATACCTTGGAAAAATAGAGGTATCAACATGAAACTTTGTAGGTAGTTATATCTCATTGAGAAGGTATGCAGTGCACAAGAACTGTAACTTTGCCTGGTCTAGTTTTTGAATTATTGCCTTTTTCATTTTACCTTGATTTTTTTGAGACATACTTTAAGAATAAACATGAAATTTTTTAGTAGATAGATCTCATTGTAATGCATGTAGAAAACATATCTGTTTTCTATTGATATTGCATTTCTCATTTACACTTGAACATGTTGAGAATATAACTTTAAGAGTATAATGGAACTTTGTATGAAGATATATCTTATTAAATAGAAGTGCAGTACTAAAAAATCTAAATTCTGCCTTGCCTAATTGTGGAGTTATTGTCATTTACTCATTTTTACATTGTGAACTTTTATTTGAGACATAAGATTTCAGATTTCTTGTAAAACAGTAAAACTTCCTACCTGAAAAACAATACACAAATCTAGTAACACTGTAGCTTTATCATATGTAAACAACACAACGTGTAGAGTTATTTATGGGAAACAGCAGTTACATAAACGAATTATTTTCAGGACTTATTATACTTAAAGCCCATTAACCAAAAAAAGAAACCCGAAAATGTAGGCTTTCATTTCATAGGTTTGCAATTGAAAAAATATCGTAATTTTTGAAACGAAATCATCACATTTAGACGTGGGATAGTTACACAACAAACAGAACACGAGCAAGCGATAAAAACGACGTGTATCTCTTGTGATAATTTACTGATTTTTAAATTATTGAAATATTTATTTACTTCTCCAGTTTTTAAGCAGCATAAACTTACACAAGCACCCACTCTAAATGACTGTTATATTTATATATTTGGTTCTTTTTTTTATTTCCATTAGTTACTCGATTCACTTTTCGATTCAGTCATTTTTAACTGATTTAATCAATTTCCTTTAAGTTTTAATATGATTTAAACCAAATGTTGTAATTTGCTCGGCCCCTACAAGATAATATGTATATAGCATTTATTGCATATTACCTGCTTGTTCCGGTAGTTATTTTAATTATGAGTATATCTTGAAACAATATTTGATTGAATATTTGTTAATCGGATATTATCAAGGAATTTAATGATATTTTCAATTGTTTGAAAGGCTATTTATTCATATCATGTCGTTTACTATAATATTTGATTAAGCTGTGTTACAATTGTCAGTTTTTTGCTCACGTTTATCTTAACGTTTATCTGAGTAAATAGTATATTGTAGCAATATATTTAAGTAAAATATTTACTTCAAATTACAGACGCATCTGCATATTCTAAATATTTTCTCAAAATGGGCCAGGAGGAGAATGTATCTGATGAAGAATTTAAGAATGAGACAATAGGGTTAAAATAAACGTGAATGGATATAAAATGCATAAGTATCCCGAACAAATTCACAGAAGTATTTTATTTGAGACATAAAATTTCAGATACCTTGTAAAGCAGTGAAACTTCCTGCCTGAAAAAACAATACACATATCTGGTAACACTGTAACTATATTATATGTTTAAACAATACCACGTGTAGAGTATTGTAGAGTTTTTTTGATGGGAAACAGTATTATACATAATGTGATGATTTTTTGGTCTTATTACACTATTAGCCCATTAATAAAGAAAGAAACCCGATGGGCAGACTTCACTTTACAATTGCAATCATCTAAATTTGCAATTCAAAACATATCTTACATTTTTGATACGAAATAATTACACTTACATAATGGAAAGTTACACACCAAACAGAAAATGAGAAAACGAAAAAAAGACGATGTGTATCTCTTGTGACGAATGGTTGATTTTCAAATTATTAAAATATCCACTTCTCCAGTTTTTAAGCAGCATAATTTTACACAAGCACCCGTTTTAAATGACTGTGTTAAATTATATATTGGGTTCATAATTTAACTTTTTTGAGTCATCATTAATTACTCGATTCACTTTTTGATTCAATCATTTTTATCTGATTTAATCAATTTCCTTTAAGTTTTGATATAGTGTAAACCAAATGTTGTAACTTGCTCGGGCCCCTACAAGATAATCTGAATATGGCATTTATTGCATAATTCTCGTTGTTCTGGTCGTTATTTTATTCACATTTTTGCATTATATCTTGAAACATTATTTTATAAAAGAATTGTTAATTGGATATTATTAAGGAATTTACTTATATTTTCAATTGTTTGAGAGGCTCTTTAGTGATACCATCTCATTTTTCATTATATTTTATTAAGCTGTGTTACAATTGTTAGATGTTTGTTCATGTTTATCTTAACGTTTATCTGAGAAAATAGTACATTGAAGCAATATATTGAAGAATAATATTTACTTTAAATTACAGACGCATCTGATTATTCTAAATATTGTCTTAAAATGGGCCAATTGGAGAATGTTTGTGATGAAGAAGGTAAGAATGAGACAAAAGGGTTAAAATAAACGTGAACATATATGAAATCAATTTTCATCTCGATAAACTTCACAGAAGTATTTTATTTGAGACATAAAATTTTAGATATGTTGTTAAGCAGTGAAACTTCCTGTCTGAAAAAACAATACACATATCTGGTAAAACTGTAACTATATCATACAGAAATAATGCCACGTGTAGAGTGTTTCGATGGGAATCAGAAGTTTTCATGAAGGAATTATTTTCGGGGCATCATGCATTCACCTTTTGATTGAGTCGTGTTGAGCTTACTTTAATGCTTCTTATTTTCTCTATTTTATCGCATAATCAGCGTTGTTTGTGCCGTGCGAATTTTGTAAAAAGTCGCTCCGTACATTCAATCAGGGTACCCGGGACATAACTCTAAAACTATAAGAGATATCAACATGAAATTGTATAGTTAGATAGATCTCATTGAATAGAAAGTGCAGTGCAAAGTACCATAACTCTGCCTTGCCTAATTTTGGAGTTATTGTCCTTTGTTAATATTTCTTATACTTTTCTGTGTACAAAACCTGCTCGGGGAGCATCACCCGGTTCATTCGGTTCTTGTTATTGTTGCAGCATGCCAGGTTTGCTTTTTAAACGTTTGCATTTATATTTCACGATACAAGATTAACAAAAAATGTTATTTTAAAGTTCTTTTAATTCATTATATCATTTACAATTTGGAAGTTCAGGTTTTGGCAAAGAAACATCATACAAATGTGAACTGTCTTTTTTTATAATGTCTCAAGTTGGTCTAAATACACCTTTTCTGTTTCTTAGTATTTCCCTTTTAAGATTGATATTTCAAAATAAAATATGAAATCAATTCATATTTACATAGGACTCATCGTGATATCGGGGGGTACTCCTGACTCCTGACCGCAACCGGGAATTCCAGGGTCTTGAGTGCACCTGGCATGGCCTACAGTGCGTGTCATCGCAGGAAGACCTTATTGGAGCTTCTGTCCCCCAGGTCCAGGTCCACGATATAGTAGGCGTAGACCACCATTTCCCTCTAATTTGAAGACATTTATATATTAAAATACATAATAAAATGCGTTTAAATGACTTAGGGAAGAGTTTATATTTCATTACTCTTTTTTACTTAAAGAGAAGTGAATGCAACTATATATGTCAGGTAAAGCTATTTTCATTATTTCCCCTCCTTTGTGCACTTAATTACATTGATAGTATTTCTTTTTATTCCCTATCTTTTGTTGTTGTTGAGCAGCAGACTTTTCCATTATTCTCTCGTTAGTATTCATTTTCAGATATTTATACCATTTGACGTTTAAAAGTTATATCTGAAAAGTAAAGTATCATTTTATTCGGTTCATGTAAAACTTTTATTGTTGCATCATGTCATTTTTGCCTCACCAAAGCTTGCATTTTTATTTCAAGTCGCAAAATGAACAAACAAAGTTGCTTTTATATATGTTTTTCTCTTTTTCATTTCATTTACAATTGTAAGTAAGAAATTATCTAATGACTAAAATATCATATCTTTTTACAGATGAAAATATACGCGGACAGGAAAATCTAAATGCGACATCTGCAAAAGATCACTTACAATCTTCCAACCTTGGCACTTCGGACTTGTCAAGTTTTAAGAATACAAAGCTACCAGTCCGCGATGGTAAATATCATTATGTATTCAAGAGATATATATTGAAAATTTACGAAGGACAACTCACTATATTTTGTCTGGTTTTGGCGAAGAAATATCATACGAATTTGAACTTTCTATGTCTTTTTATTTTTTAGGTTGGTCCAATCACTTCTATTCCTTTTAATAACTATGTATTTCTTGTTTTTCTTCACATTAAAAAGTAATATAAGACAATCAAGGTATATTTCTTTGCTTCACAGAAAACTGTTTTCGTTGCATCATGCCACTTTTACATTTAGTTGCACTTAATATGCATTTATATTTCACGATACAAAATGAAGAATCAAAGCTACTGTAACGTTATCTTCATTCATTATGTTATTGCCAATTGCAAGCAAGATAAAATCATATGAATTGAATATCATTAATACTTTTACAGATGAAAACCTACACGAAGATGAAAATATAATGATTGCGACTTCCAAAAAAGAACGGTTATATCCTTCTAACTTTGGCATTTCGGACATGACAAGTTCTAATATAACAAAAGAACCAGTCACTGATGGTAAACACAATTATTCATTTAAGAGCAATACATTGCTTGGTATGGGACCGTATTTGGTCAATGAAAGGAGACCTTTTTCCAGCAATTTTTGATTTAGTGTACACGAGTAGATAGCATTAATTGAGCTATTGTCAAAGCTACATTTAACTAACTTACACATGTATTTTATTAATTAAGAGATTTCACAACCATCTATGTACATAGTGCGTGCAAAGCATGGTTAAACGCGAGATATTTGCTCAGTTGCATTAATATTTGAACACCCCTCGCATTGCAAATGAACGAAAGATTACACACGATATTTCGTCTGGTTTTGGCGAAGAAATATCATACGAATGTGAATTGCCTTTTATCTATCTAATCAGTTTTTATGTTGGCCAAAATATTACTATTTCTTATTTCTATTTCTAATTCTAATTTTTTTACTTCTTTTGCTTAATATTTAAAAGTAATGTTAGACAATCAATGTATATTCCTTTGGTTTACATAAAACTTTTATAGTTGCATCATGCCACATTTGCATACAAAAACAAATTGCATTGATATACCACGATACAAAATAAAAAATAGATGCTTCTTAAACATTCTTTGTATATATTATGTCATTTCCAATTGCAAATAAGATATAATTATATGACCTAAATATCATTAATGCATCTTACAGATGAAAACCTACACGGAGTGGAAAATATAAATGCGACTGCTGAAAAAGAACGCTTACAATCTTCCAACTTGGGCAATTCAGACTTGCCAAGTTCTAAAATTACAAAAGAACCAGTCACTAATGGTAAGTATAATTACTTATAAAGAGTTATAAATTGCAAAATGAACGGAAAGGAAAACGAGATAATTTGTGTGAATCAGTATTTGGTTGTTAGAAAGATGAACTGAACATTTTAGTTCTGTTTATTAACAGTCATATCTTGCAAAAGAGAACAAACACACGCTCTTTTCTGTAATGAAATTCTAGTTTGGGTAGAAAAATATATAGAGGATATTGACTGAGTTTAAGTTCAATACTGAATTTATTGTACGAGTTGAATAAAATTATATTATGCGAGCCTCTGGCGAGCATAATATTATTTTATTCAACGAGTTCAATAAATTCAGTAATGCACTTACACGAATTTTAATTCTATTTATCACAAACCCAAAATAAAGACTGTTTAAAGTGAATAAAGAGTCAAATTTCTTTGGCTTCTTTAGTATAACGCTTATATTTAGCGCGTCTTTGCACTATGTTTGTATAACGCTATTGACGTCACGTCAAAATATATGCACGGCCGTGCAATACCATTTTTACGGAGTCGCAAAATCGGCCCGGGTCTGTGATAATATACGTATGTTGACTGTCTCATATCGTTTTTTATTTCTTTTGTTGCCGCAAAGGTTAATGTTCTTTGTAGATAATTATTCACTTGACATGCAAAAGTTATATATGGACATTAATATATGCTTTTTATGTTCATATAAAACATTAATCTTTGCATCATGCAAATTTAAAGTTTGCATTTATATTTCACGAAACAAAGTGAAGCAAATGTGTCTCTTTTTAATAAACATTCTGTTAATACATTATGCCATTTACAATTACTGGTTGAAAATCATATTTTTTGCTTACAGATAAAAATTTAGAAGGAGAGGGAAATCTAAACGAGACTTCCGAAAAAGAACGCTTACAAGCTTCCAATTTAAGAACCTCAGACTCGTCAGGTTCTAAAAATACAAACAAATCTGTCCCCGATGGTAAGTATCGTTATTTATATTAGAGCTATACTTTGCAAAATAAACGAAAGATTACTCACGATATTTTTTCTTGAATTTCTTGTTCTGGTAAAGAAATATCATACGAATGTGAACTGTCTTAAAGTTAAATACTTTCTCAGGTTGGTCCTAATATTACTTTTCTTTTCCTTACTTTTTTCGTTCTTTTGTTTTGTATTTAAATGTAATAAATGAAATTAATTAATATTTCTTTTGTCTGTACATAACATTTATGTTATCATCATTCCAATTTTGCATTTCAATAATTTGCATTTATATTTTACTATACAAAATAAAGAACAAAATGTTACTTTCACATTTTGTTACATCTAATAGAGTGAGACTTAAAAAAAGGATTGGAGCACCACACTTAATACCGTATTCCGGTACATACCGGACACGACGTTTGAATGTCTAAATGCTTAAATTTCGCCTTTTCACCTACGGAATGAACTTTAAACGGTTAAATTCATCTTTTCACACCGATTCATGTATGATAGTAAAGTGAAAAATTGTAATAATCGCGTAAAAAAGGTACTGCTCCAGTCCTGTATTGAGTTAAATCCAATTTGATATGTCATCTCTTATTGCTGTCAAAGATTTATCATATGTTTAGAATATCATTGATACCTTTTACAGATGAAAACATAAACGGAAAAAAAAGTCTAAATGAGACTTCTGAAAGAGCACGCTTACAATTATCCAACATTGGCACTTTGGACTTGTCAAGTTCTAAGAATACTAATGAATCGGTCTCTGTTGGTAAGTTACTGATCATTTAAGATATGTTCATTTAAGAGTAATTTATTGCAAAATAGTACTAAAAACACAAAATATATTTCTGATTTCTAATGTTGCCGACAAGATTAATATTCATTTTATCATTTTATTTTTTACATTTGACTGAAGTGATATCTGAAAAATGAATTATGTATTTTTTTTGTTTCATATGAAACGTGTTTACTTGCATCATGCTATTTTTACCTCTCAAGCGTTTACATCAATCTTATGTTTCACGTCACAAAATCAAGAAAGAATGTTACTTTAATGTTTTTGAATATAATTTGCCAATTAGAATTGCTTGTAAAAATCATCATATGGCTAGAATCTCATTTATTATGTTTGCAGATGAAAACTTACACGGAGACAAAAATCTAAATGCGACTTCTGAAAAGGAACGCTCACTATATTCTAACCCTGACACCTCGGAACTGTCAAGTTTAGAAAATACAAAGGAACTAGTCCCTGATAGTAAGTATCATTATTTATTTCAAAAGTTATTTTTTTGCAGAATGAATGAAAAGTAACACAAAATTCATTGCCTGATAATTCAGGCTTGGGCAACAAAACATCCTACGAATGTGAACTGTCTTATATTTTTTTAATTTCTCAAGTTGGCCACAATAATACTATTCATTTCCTTTTTTCTGTCCGTTTTGCTTTATTTTCAAGGTATTATAAGTATATCAATGTATATATTTTTTGTTAATAATGAGTTGGAAGTGTTGAATCATGCCACTTTTGCATTTCATATGTTTTGTATTTTCATTTCACGATAAAAATGAATAAATAACTGTTACTTTAACATTCTCTACTTCATTATGTCATTATGTTCCAATTCAATGTAATTCAATATCATTGATACTTTTGACAGATGAAAACCAACACGGAGAAGAAAATATAAATGCGACTTCAGAAAAAGAACGCTTACAATCTTCCAACGTTGGCATTTCGGACCTGCAAATTTCTAAAGGTACAAAGGCACCAGACCCCGATGGTAAGTATCATTTTATATTTTCCTATTACTGCATAATCATTTTGTAGAAAAATGACTGTTTTCATTGCAAAGTCTCCCGTTATAAGCTCAAAATGATATTAAACTATAAAAACTTCTTCAGTACTATCAATCTTAGCACAAAAAATGACTGGACCATTGCTGTTGTAACAACATGCTCAGTCTTAAATGTCCTGTTACCATGGCAACGAGGGGACATCACTAATTATTTTGAGTTGTTTTTTTTTCCACTAAAATTGATTTCAAAGTGCTGCAACTTCTAAATAGATTGAGATAAAGTCAAAGGCTTTTCAGCGTTGGTTGCTAGCTACCTTTTGATCGACCTGGGCTCATTTTTAGCCTCTCACAAGTCAAAAATTTTCTTGGCGATCAGAGACTCTGCCGCCCCTTTGAAGACCCCAAAACATAAGGGGTTCATCCCCCTTCTGGCAACCCCCTGATGTATCTTTTTGATAGGTCGCGGCGCCGAAAAACGGTCACTTTTTAAACAACATTTCTATAAACAAAAACAAGTGTTTGGGGCCTAAAAAATGCATTTTGCACCATTTGAGACAACAAAAATGGGGGAGGGGGTAAAAGGCGGGCTGTTGGGCGGGCGGGCGTCCGTCAACGTTTTGGTTCCGCACAAAAACCTGTGTTTGCTTTGGCCTTTTGAGACCAAACTTGGTGTATAGATAGCTTGATTCAAGAGACAGCTTGGGATTGCTCCCCAGGTTTCTGTGATCAAGGCCAGTGTTTCTAAAAGTAGAAATTCATTTTCCGCTCAATAACTTGAGCTTGCTTTAGCCTTTTGACACCAAATTTGTTGTATGGATAGCATATATCAAGAGCAGCTTAGGTTGCTATCCAGGAGGCTGTGAGCAAGGTCAAGGTCACTTTTACTTAAAATAAATTTTCAATTTCCGCTCAATGATTTGAGTTTGCTTTGACCTATTGACACCAAACTTTTTATGTTGGGATGGAGATTGGGATCTCTACCCAGGTATCTGTGATGAAGGTTAAGGTCACTGTTACTAAAAATAGAAATTATGTTTCCACTCAATAACTTGAGATGTCTTTAGCCTATGGACAAACAATTTGGTGTATGGGTAGCTTATATCGAAAGGCAGATTTGGATCACTACCCATTTGTCTGTGATCAAGGTCACTTTTACTAAAAATAGAAATTATGTTTTCGCTCAATATCTTGAGTTTGCTTTGGCCTATTGACACCAAACTTATTGTGTACGTTACTTATATCAAGCTGCCTCTCGATATAATCTACCCATGTGTCTGTAATCAAGGTCAATGTCGCTGTGACTAAAAATTAAAATTCAGTTTCCGCTCTAAAACTGCAGTTTGCTTGGGCCTATTGACACCAAAATTGCTATATTGGTAGCTTATATCAGGAGGCAGCTTGAGATCTCTATCCAGGTATCTGAGATTAAAGTTAAGGTCACAGTTTCTACAAATAGAAATTATGTTTCCGCTCAATAACTTGAGTTTGCTTTTGCCTATTGACACCAAATTTATTGTGTACGTAGCTTATATCAAGAGGCAGCTTAATATTGCTACCCCTTTGTCTCTGATCAAGATCAATGTCACTGTTCCTAAAAAAGAAATTCAGTTTCTGCTCAATAACTTGAGTTTGCTTTGGCCTATTGACACCAAACTTATGTATGAAAGGCAGCTTGGGATTGTTATCCTAGTTTCAGTGGTCAAGGTCAAGGTCATTGTTACTAAAAATAGAAATTCAGTTTCCGTTCAATAACTTGAGTTTCCTTTGGCCTATTGACACCAAACTTGATGTATGGGTAGCTTATATCAAGAGGTAGCTTTGGATTGCTTCCTAGGTGTCATTGGTCAAAGTTAATTTAATCAGTTTTCACATAATACTTTGCGAGCGCTCTGACCATTTGACACCAAACTAATTTTGTGGTAGCTTTGGATTGCCACTTAGATATCTTGGAGCAAGGTTAAGGGCATTTGCTTTCAATAGAATTTTAAGCTTTTACTCAATTATCTCAGTGCACTTTGATCTTTTGATTGTTGTAACATCAAAACTTGGTCGTCTGAATTTCGTCATATTGCGGCGTTTCTTGTGTTTATTAAAGATATATATATATTACTAAAAGAACAAAAAACACAATTTTTTGTCTGAACATTCTGATTTGGCTATACAATATTATACGAATGTTAACTGTCTTATTTTTTCTGATTTCTAGGGTTAGGGTTAGGGTTAGTTGCCAAGGTTAATATTCATTTTCAGACTATTTTTCACATGATGTTTGAAGGTTATATCGTAATATATCATATATATTATTTTAAGATGAAAACATATACGGAGAGGAAAAACTGAATAAGATTTCTGAGGAAAATCACTTACAATCTTCACAAAATGTAAAGTTATCCTCGTCAAGTCCTAAAAATACAAAAGAACCTGTCCCCAATAGTAAGTGTTATTATTTATTAAAAGATGTATTCGTTTTTTTAATTAAAGAATTATATATCATAAAAATGAACGTAAAATAACACAAGATAATATTTGTGTGATTAAGTGTGTGAATCAGTCTCTAGTGGTAAGAATGTGATCATTTAAATTATGTATATTAAGATATTAAAGAGCACTTTATTACAAAAAGTACGAAAAACTCAATCATGTTTTGTCTTGAAATTCTTGTTTTACCAATGCTATATTTAACAAATGTAAAGTGTCTAATTTCTTTCTGATTTCTCAAGTTGCCGCCTAGGTTAATATTTATTTACAATATATCTTTCATTTGACGTTCAAAGTGATATCTGAAAAGTAAACTGTTTTTATTTTCGTTTCATGTAGCATTATGCCATTTTTACCTCCCAAAAGTTTACATTAATCTTTTATTCACAAAATGAAGGAAAACTGTTACTTGAATGTTTTTAATTCATTAAATCATCAACAACTGCTTGTAAGAAATCATATGACTAGAACAATTTTTGTTATATTCACAGATGAAAAGTTACACGGAGATGAAAATGCGGCTGATGAAAAGGATTGCTTACACTCTTCTAACCATGGCACTTCGGACTGGTCAAGTTCGAAAAATACAAAGGAACAAGTCCCCGATAGTAAGTATCATTATTAATTAGAAAAATATATTTAAACATAACACACTATTTTTATTTCATGATAGAAAATAAAAACAACTTATACATTTTCATCTTCGTTAATTTATTTCCAATTACAAGTAAGGAATCATAATATGACTATAACATCTCTGATAATTTTGACAGATGATAACCAACACGAAGAAGAAAATCTCAATATGACTTCAGAAAGAGAAAGCGTACAATCCTCTAACGTTGGCATATCGGATTTGCCAAGTTCTAAAAAGACAACGGAACCAGACCCCGATGGTAGCTTTTATTATTTATTAAGAGATAAAGATATCAAAATGAACATAAGATATTTCAATATTGTTTGTTTAAATCAGTTTCTTGTGGTCAGAAACGTATTATTTAAATTACGTTCATCAAATATTGCAAAAAAAGAAAACCAACACGACCTTTTGGCCTGGTAATTATTGTTTGAACAAAACAAATCTTCTTTCGGTTCATATAATTTTCCATCGTTGCATCATACCATTTTTGCCTACTCTCGAACGTTTGCAAGTATAAGTCACGATACAAAATGAAGACAAAAATGTTATTTTAAAATGCCTTAACTCATTATGTCATTTACAATTGCCAGTAACAAAAAAACAACGATTTTTTGGTCTGGAAATTCTTGATTGGGAAATACATTATTAATTGAATGTTTATTGCCTAAATCTATCCGATTCCTTAATTTTCCGCCAAGGTTAATATTTATTTACAATATATATTTCATTTGAAGTTTAAAAGTGATTTCTGAAAAAATATTTGTCGGTTCATATTAAAATTTTGTAGTAGCATTATGCCATTTTTACCTCACTCAAGTTGACATTAATCTTATATTTCACGTCACAAACGAAGAAACAATGTAAAGGTATTATATTTTGTTAATTCATTATGTCATCCACGACTGTTTTTAAGGAATCATATGACTAGAACATCATTTGTTATATTTATAGATGAAAAGTTACACGGAGATGAAAATGCGACTGATGAAAAAGATTGCCTACAATCTTCTGACCTTGGCACTTCGCATTGCTTAAGTTCTGCAAATACAAAGGAATTAGTCCTCGATAGTAAGTATCGATATTTATTAAAACGTTATATTTAAACGTAACACAATTCTTTATTTCATGAAAGAAAATAAAACAAAAACAATAACCGTAACTTTGACTGGTCTAGTTTTTGAATTTTTGCCTTTTGTTCATTTTTACACTTTGAACTTTTTCTGAGACATAACTCTAAAACTATAAGAGATACCAACATGAAACCTTGTAGGTAGAATGATCTCATTATGTCAAAGTGCAATGCTAGAAAATGCTAGAAAACTATAACTCTGTCTTTCCATATTTTGGAGTTATTGCATTTTCTTCATTTTTACACTTTGAACTTTGTCTGAGACATAACTCTAAAACTATAAGAGATATCAACATGAAACTTTGTATGAAGATAGATCTTATTAAATAAAAGTGCAGTACTAAATAATCTAAACTCTGCCTTGCCTAATTGTGGAGTTATTGCCATTTGTTCATTTTTACGTTGTGAACTTTTATTTGAGACATAAAATTTCAGATATGTTGTAAAGCAGTGAAACATCCTGCCTGAAAAACAAAATACATATCTAGTAACACTGTAGCTTTATCATATGTAAACAAAACCACGTGTAGAGTTATTGATGGGAAACAGCAGTTTACATAAACGAATTATTTTCGGGACTTATTATACTTAAAAACCCATTAACAAAAAAAAAAAAAAAGAAACCCAAAAGTGTAGGCTTTCATTTCACAGGCGCAATCATTTAGATTTGCAATTGAAAAAAATATCGTTACTTTTGAAACGAAATCATCACACTTAGACGTGGGATAGTTACACACCAATCAGAACACGAGCAAACGATAAACGATGTGTATCTCTTGTGACAATTGACTGATTCTTAAATTATTGAAATATTTACTTCCCCAGTTTTTAAGCAGCATAAAGTTACACAAGCACCCACTCTAAATGACTGTGTTTAATTATATGTTTGGTTCAGAATCTTTTTTATCCATTCGTTAGTCGATTCACTTTTCGAATTAGTCATTTTGCACTGATTAAATCAATTTCCTTCAAGTTTTTATATAATTTAAACCAAATGTTGTAACTTGCTCGGCCCCAACAAGATAATCTGTATTCGGCATTTATTGCATTCTACTCGCTTGTTCCGGTCGTTATTTTAATTACGAGTATATCTTGAAACAATATTTGATTGAATAGTTGTTAATAGGATATTATCAAGGAATTTAGTAACTACTATATTATATATAAACAATACCACGTGTAGAGTATTGTAGAGTTTTTTGATGGGAAACAGTATTATACATAATGTGATGATTTTTGGGTCTTATTACACTAAAAGCCCATTAATAAAGAAAGAAACCCGAAGGGCAGACTTCACTTTACAAGTGCAACTACCTAAATTTGCAATTCAAAACATACCTTACATTTTTGATACGAAATAATTACACTTACATGTTGGAAAGTTACACAACAAACAGAAAATGAGAAAACGAAAAAAAAAAAAAAAACGATGACGAATGGTTGATTTTCAAATTATTGAAATATCCACTTCGCCAGTTTTTAAGCAGCATAATTTTACAAAATCACCCGTTCTAAATGACTGTGTTAATTTATATATTGGGAAATCAATATTCATCTTGATAAGCTTCACAGAAGTATTTTATTTGAGACATAAAATTTCAGACATGTTGTAAAGCAGTGAAACTTCCTGCCTGAAAAAACAATACACATATCTGGTAACACTGTAACTATATCATACGTAAACAATGCCACGTGTAGAGTGTTTTGATGGGAATCAGAAGTTTTCATAAAGGAGTTATTTTCGGGGCATCATGCATTCACCTTTTGATTGAATCGTGTTGAGCTTACTTTAACGATTCTTATTTTCTCTATTTTATCGCCTCATCATCGTTGTTTTTGCAGTGCGAATTTTGTAAAAAGTCGCCCCGTACATTCAATCAGGGATGTTATATTTTCGATTCTAGTAGGTCGTTCAACACGACATTATTGTTGTGCTTTTGGTATTTTAGTTCATTCCATTCGGCTATTTTCTTGTTCGGTGGGTCCAGCATTTCTCACTAGAAAACTGTTTAATCACCCTTAGGATATGTTGCCCGCTTTTTAAATGTGTCTTTTGACGTATTATCTGTGATAAGCAGGATTTTTAACCTCTGATTTCCTTTTAGAATACTATTTTATTTTTATTTACCCCATTGTTTTCCCGTTTGGGGGAAATGCATTTATTTACTCGGGTACTATATGCCGCTTTTAATGGAAAGGTTCAAACGTGTCTTATTTAAGGTTCCATAATAACCGCCATTTGAACACATTTGTGGATGTTTCTAAATTCTAAATTTTGAATGATGAATGCAACTTTAGCCGGTGCTAGAGGACGTGGACGGTCGTTTGCACTTGACAGTACCATTATTAAACAGGCGTAATCAAACCGAGCCTGCAAAATTTTCAATTCAGTCATGTTGGGCTTTGTTTAGATTTCTTATTTTCTCTATTTCAGAATCAAAGCATCATGCATTCACTTATTGATTCAATCAATTCTATCTGATTCATTCATTCTGACTTTAAGGTTTTGATCAAGTGTATTTAAATGTTGAAACTTGATCACCCCCTACAAGATAATTTGTATAATTATGTCATTTTTGAATAATTCCCGCTTGTTCCGGTCTATACTGTATTCACAATTATGAATTATAGCTTGAAAAATATTTTATTGAGAATTTGTTAATTGGATATTATTAAGAAAGTTACTTATATTTTCAATTGATTGAAAGGCTCTTAAGTGATAGGATGTCATTCATCATTTAAATAAATCAAATTATGTTACAAATGTTAGATGTTTGCTCATGTTTATCTTTGCGTTTATCTGAGAAAATATAACATTGTAGCAATAAATTGAAAAATTGTATTTACTTTAAATTACAGAAGCGTCTGATTGTTCTGAAACATTTTTCAAAATGGACCAGGAGGAGAATATATCTGGTGAAGAAGGTAAGAATGATACAAAATGGTTAGAACAAGCGCAAATGGATATGAAATCAATATTCATCTCGGTAAACTCCACAGTAGTATTTTATTTGAGATATAAAATTTTAGATATCTTGTAAAGCAGGTAAATTTCCTGCCTGAAAAACAATACACATATCTGGTAACACTGTAACTATATCATTTATAAACAAAACAATGTGTTGAGTATTTTGATGGGAAACAGCATTTTACATAAAGAAATTATTTTCGGGTCTAATTATACTTAAATGGTCATTAATCCGAAAGGGCAGACTTCACTTCACAAGTGCAATCATCTAGATTTACAACTGAAAGCATATCTGACTTTTTTGATACGAAATAATTACACTGAGACGTGGGATAGTTGCACATCAAATAGAACACAAAAACGACAAAGAACAATGTGTATCTCTTGTGACGAATGGTTGATTTTCAAATTATTGAAATATCTACTTCTCCAATTTTTAAGCACCCGTTCTAAATGACTGTGGTAATTTATATATTGGGTTCAGAATTATTTTGTTTTCATCCATTCATTACTCGATTCACTTTTTGATTCAATTATTTTTATCTGATTTAATCAATTTCTTTTAAGTTTTGATATAGTGTTAAGAATTATTTTTAAATGTTTGAAAGGCTCTTTAGTGATATCATGTCATTATCATTATATTTGATTAAGCTGTGTTACTATTGTTAGATGATTGCTCATGCTTATCTTTACGTTTTCCTGAGAAAATATTACATTATAGCAATATATTGCAAAATAATTTTTATTTTACATTACAGATGCATATGGTTATTCTAAATATTTTCTTAAAATGATCCAGAAAGAGAATGTATCTGAAGAAGAAGGTAAGAATGAGACAAAAGTGTTAGAACGAACGCGAATGAATATGAAATCAATATTAATCTCGATTAACTTCACAGTAGTAATTTATTTGACACATAAAATTTCAGATAATTTGTAAAGCAGTGAAACTTCCTGCCTGAAAAACAATACACATATCTGGTAACATTGTAAAGATATGATATGTAAATAATACCACGTGTAGAGTATTTTGATGAAGAACAGCAGTCTATATAAAGGAATTATTTCGGGTCCTCTTTTACCAAGAAATAAAGCCGAAAGCGCAGACTATCACTTCACAAGTGCAATAATCTAGATTTGAAATTGAGTAAATATCATAACTTTTTATACGAAATCATTACACATAGACGCGGGAAATTGACACACCAAACAGAACATGAGAAAACGATAAAGAAAAGTGTGTATGTACTGTGACGAATGGTTGATTATAAGGTTATTGAAAGATCTTCTTTAGTTTTTCAGCAGCATAAATTTTCACAATCCTTCACTCTCCATGATCGTGGCTATTTGTATACTGGGTTCAGTCAATCGTTTTCGATCCATTCGTTACAACATCATACATTAACCTTTTGATTGAATTAGTTGAGCGTACTTATAGTTCTTATTTTCTCTATTTGATCGCATCATCAGCGTTGTTATTGCGTGTTGAGGCTGTAAAAAGTCGCCTCGTACATTCAATCAGGGATGTTATTTCCGATCCTTATCTATAGTTCAGCACGTCATTTTTGTTGTGCTATTGGTATTTTAGTTTATTCCATTTGTTTTTTTTCTTGCCAGGTGGTTCAAGTTTTCCTCAATTGAAAACTGTTGATTCATCCTTAGGATATGTTGCGTGCTTTTTAAATGTGTCTTTTGGCGTATTCTGTGATATGCAGGATTTTTTTTACCTCTGATCCCCTTTTAAAATTCTAAATTTTATATAGTTCCTCCCATTGTTTCACGTTTATGGCAAACGCATTTATTAACTTGGGGACCATATGCAGCTTTTCATGGAATGGGTCTTACGTGTCACATTGAAGGTAACATAATAACTGCCATAGGTACACATCTGCGGATGTTTCTAAATTCCAAATCTTACAAATCCATTTTAAATGTTGAATACAACTTAAGCCAGTGCTAGAGGGCGTGTACGGTCGTTTGCACTTGAAAGTACCATTCTTGAAAAGGCTTAATCAAGCCAAGTCTGCAACATTTTCAATTTTGTAGTGTTGGGCTTTGTTTAGGGATTCTTATTTTCTCTTATTCAGAATCAAAGCACCATGCATTCATTTATTGATTAAATCAATTTTATCTGATTCATTCATTCTGACTTTAAGGTTTTGATAAAGTGTAAACCAAATTTAGTAACTTGATCGGCCCCTACAAGGTAATCTGTATAATTATGTCATTTATTGAATTATTCCCGCTTGTTCCGGTCTATACTTTATTCACATGTATGAATTATATCTTGAAACAATATTTGATTGTATATTTGTTAATTTGATATTATTAAGAAATTTACTTATATTTTAATTGTTTGAAAGGCTCTTTAATGTGATATCATGTCATTTATCATTATATTTGAGTAAGTTGTGTTACAACTGTTTGATGTTTGCTCATGTTTATCTTAACGTTTATCTGAGAAAATAGTACATTGTATCAATATATTGAAAATAATATTTACTTTAAATTACAGACTCATCTGATTTTTTAAAATATATACTTAAAAGGGGCCAGGAGGAGAATATTTCTGATGAAGAAGGTAAGAATGAGACAAAAGGGTAAGAATAAACCCGAATGGATATGAAATTAATAACTATCCCGAAAAACTTCACAGTAGTGTTTATTTGAGACATAAAATTTCAGATATCTTGTAAAGCGGTAAAACTTCCTGCCTGAAAAGCAATACACATACAAATGTATCTATTAAAACTGTAGCTTTATCATATATTAACAATACCAATTGTAGAGTTATTGATGGGAAGCAGCAGTTTATGCAAAGGATATATTTTCGGGTTTAATTATACTTAAAAGCCCATTAACAAAGAAAGAAACCCGAAAGTGCAGGCTTTCATGTCATAGGTGCAATCATCTAGATTTGCAATTGAAAAAATATCTTAACTTTTGAAACGAAATCATCACACTTAGACGTGTAAAGTTACACATCAAACGTAACACGAGAAAACGATAAAGAACGATGTGTATCTGTAGTGACAATTGACTAATTTTCAAATTATTGAAAACTTTACTTCTCTAGTTTTTAAGCAGCATAAACAAAAACAAGCACCCACTTTCCATGACTGTGTAAATTTATATATTTGGATCAGAATATAACTTTTTGTATCCATTAGTCGATTCACTTTTTGGTTCAATCATTTTTAACTGACATAATCAATTTTAAGTTTTGATATAATGTAAACCAAACGTTGAAACTTGCTCGGGCCCCTACAAGATAATCTGCATATGGCATTTATTGCATACTTCTCGCTTGTGCAAGTCGTTATTTTATTCACTTATTCACATCTATGAATTACGAATATATCATGAAACAATATTTGATTGAGTATTTGTTTATAGGATATTATTAAGGAATTTACTTATATTTTCAATTGTTTGAAAGGATCTTTAGTGATATCATTTCATTTATTATGATATTTAACAAGGCTGTGTTACAATTGTCAGTTGTTTGCTCTTGTATATCTTAACGTTTATCTGAGAAAATAGTACATTGTAGAAATATATTTAAAAATGACATTTACTTTAAATTACAGACCAGTCTGATTTTTCTAAATTTTTACTCGAAATGGGCCAGGAGAAGAATGTATCTGATGAAGAAGGTAAGAATGAGACATAAGGGTTAAGATAAACGTGAATGGATATTAAATCAATATTCATCTCGGTAATCTTCACAGTAGTATTTTATTTGAGATATAAAATTTCAGATATGTTGTAAAGCAGTGAAACTTCCTGTCTGAAAAAACAATACACATATCTGGTAATTCTGTAACTATATTATATATAAAAACTACCACGTGTAGAGTATTGTGATGGGAAACAGCATTATACATAAAGGGATAATTTTCGGGTCTTATTATACTTAAGAACTCATTAATAAAGAAAGAAACCCGGCGGTCAAAAAACTATTTTGGTTATAGTTTGCTATCTTCTATTTTTTACTTCAGTTAAATATATTGAGGCGACATTGCAGTCCCCTGTCGAAGCAAAGAGATGAAAATAATCCATTTATTCGAATTTATTTAGTGGCATCCCACTTAGAAATAAAATGGGGTTGCGATTCTTTTACCATAAGGTGGGCTGTTAAAGCAGCACAGCAAGAACAATCAGTTTTGTTGTGTCCTTTGATAATAATAATATTCATGGGATAATAAAAAAAGGAATGTCAGTATTGTTTTAGGACAATTCTATAACAAATGTTTTATATTTCTGATCTAGGACCGGAAAAGACAAAGAGATTTGCTGCATACTATTTATTTTGTCCAAACTCGTGCTATCTGACAGAGTAGCACCTTTCACTATTCATAGTAAATTTATGTGTGTTAGAAGTTTTGTCTAGAAGAAGGCTTTGTCGATAAGAAACAAGAACATTCAAATTTTGAGGCAGACAACGAAACTCAAAGCATGCTAAAATTGTCACAAATGAACGTCGTTTATAAGTTGTATTAGGAGCCGTTTTCAAAGGACTTGAAGTATTTCTTTCTGTCTTTAACTTAGAAGTAAACATTATTTTACTATGTGTCCCTTTTATAATGTACAACGATATTTAAAAGCCTAAAATGTTTTAATTTCTTTGTTTCTATATTAAAGACGCATCCGGCACTGAACAACAGCTTGAAATGGGTTCCGAAGAGGTAGATATTGAAAGAGAAAGTAAGTTCCTGTCGCAAAAATTAAATGCTACTATCTGTAAAAGTTATTTTTTGTTGATAAGTATGCCCCCTTCAAGGTATTGGGGGTATATTGCTTTGCATTTGTCTGTCTGTTTGTCCGTCGGTCCGTAGAACAATTGTTTCCGAGTAATAACTTCCTAGGAACTTCAAACTTGGTATGATGATTGTTCATGACCAGTAGATGACCCCGATTGATTTTCGGTCAAGGGGTCAAAGGTCAAGGTCACATTGACATTGGAGGTAAAAACTGTTTCCGAGTGATAACTAAAGCATAGGCTTAGGAACTTCAAACTTGGTATGATGATTGTTCATGATCAGCAGATGACCAATATTGATCTTGGGGTCAAGAGGTCACAGGTCAAGATAAAATTGACCTTGAAGGTAAAAACTGTTTCCGATCAATATTTTAGGAACCCCTAGGCCTAGAAACTTCAAACTTGGTTTGACGATTGCTCATGACAGGCAGATGACTCCTATTGATTTTTTGGTAAAGGGGTCACAGGTCAAGATCGCACTGACCTTGCAGGTAAAAATGGTTTCCGATCAATAATTAAAGAATGCTTAGGCCTAAGAACTTCAAACTTGGTATGATGATTGTTCATGACCAGCAGATGACCCCTTTTGATTTTTGGGCCATAGGGTCAAAGGTCAAGGTCACAAAGACCTTGTAGATAAAAACGGTTCCGATCAATAACTAAAGAACGCTTAGGCCTAGGAACTTCAAACTTGGTACGATGATTGTTAATGACCAGCAGATGACCAATATTGATTTTGGTGTCAAGAGATCCAAGGTCAAGGTCACATTGACCTTATAGGTAAAAACTGTTTCCAATCAAAAACTAAAAAAACACTTAGGCTTAGAAAATTCAAACTTTGTATGATGATTGTACATGACCAGCAAATGACCCCTATTGATTTTGGGGTCAATGGGCAAAGGTCAAGGACACATTGACCTTGTAGATAAAAACGGTTTCCAATCAATAATTGACAAGCTATGTGCTGTCGGCCCTCCTATTTTGTAGGTGCATTGGTCTTGGCCAGTAGAGGACCCCTATTGATTTTGGGGTCAGGGAGGGTCAAAGGTTGCATTGACCGTGTATTATAAAATGCTTTCCTATCAATAACTTGATAACCAGTGGATTCTTGACCTTCAATCTTTACAGATGCATTGCTCTTGGTCAGATGACCTCAATTGATTTTTTTGCGTTAAGGGGTCAGAGGTCAAGATCACATTGACGTAATAGGTAAAAACCCTTTCTGATCAACATCCAAATTCATTGGTCCTTTACTTTCACTTTTACAGGTGCATATTGACCTTGTATGTAAAGACTGTTTCTGACCAATAACTCAACAACTCAAGTTGCCTTGGTTGATATTTTTAATAAACTAAAAATCCTTTAGGTACACACATACATTTCAAGGTCTTATGCAATATAACAACTTGGATGACATTAATGAGGCCTACATGATTCATAACATTAATGCATATATTATTTGGTAAGATTTGTAGTAACTTTGTCAAAAAAATTCTGCACACAACATTTGTGCTCACAATTAACTAGTGACTAGTCATGACCAGTAATTAACCCTTATTGATTTTTTGATCATTTAAGGTCAAAAGTCAGTCATAATAACCTGATCACATGACTAAATGGGGGCATACATGTTTTACAAACATATCTTGTTATTTAATAGGTATAATCGCTTTGCTACATCATTTACAAAAACTGTATCTATATAAAAATCTTGGCATTCACAAAACTGACACTTTAGTGATATCATACAACATATTTACTTTCTGACACAATGACATTAATTGTTAACGATATCAATTATCATCTATGCATATTTATTCGATCTGATTGAAAAGGTCTGACTAGAACTTTATATAAATAATTCCAGCTGTTATGAACTTGTGACAGTCTTGTATGACTTTAATGCACATTTCCTGTCTGATAAATAATACACATATCTATTAACACTGTAGCTTTATCATATGTAAACAACACAACGTGTAGAGTATTTAGATTGGAAACAGCAGTTTATATAAAGGAATTATTTTCAATATGTCAGGCAGCAAACACACACGAAATAGCTGTATACTGCTTTTAAAATGTCATTAATGTTTTAGTGAATAGTTTATTTAACATTAAGAAGTATTAACATAACATTAACAAAAGAGTTATAAATGACAAAGATAGTGTCATAAATAATAAGGCTACCAATAACGTTTATCAACTCATATGCAAATAGAATAAACCCGAACTTTACTCGTACTATCAGCAGTAGATTATGTTTAGTTTTCAAGCTCTTTAGTATTAATATGGTTATTGATATGTTCAATTCATATAAAGTTCAAAATTTCCATTTATTTCTTTGCATATTCATAAAGTATATAATAATGTGTACATGAACACGTAAGTGAAAATGTACATTTACAGAACAAGACTGTTTCTTGCCCACAAATTCACCTTGCAGTGGTACGAAATTCTATGATAAAAAACTCCGAACTAATCTGTTCAAATAAAAGCAGTTTTACTTTGTACGAATATCATGTTTAATAAGATACTTCTTGTTATTTCTCAAAAGATGTTCAATTCTTGTAAATGTTACATAATTCCAGAAAAATATTCATTTGTCACATAGAAGAACTCTTTTTGGCTTTTCTGGCATGTTGGCATTTTGCCTTTTTAAAGTGAATAATTGTTTAGTATGGCGGTCAAAATTCTATTTTGGTTATATTTTGCTTTCTATTTTTGACTTCAGTTAAATATATTGAGGCGACATTGAAGTCCCTGTCGAAGCAAAGAGATGAAAAGAATCCACTTATTCGAACTTATTTAGTGGCATCCCACTAAGAAATAAAATGGGGTTGCGATTCTTTTACCACAAGGGGCTGTTAAAGCAGCACAGCAAGAACAATCAGTATTGTTGTGTCCTTAGATAATAATAATTTTCATTGGATAATAAAAATGAGGAATGTCAGTATTGTTTTAGGAAAATTCTGAAACAAATGTTTTATATTTCTGATCTAGGACCTGAGAAGACAAAGAGATTTGCTGCATACTATTTATTTTGTCCAAACTCGTGCTATCTGACAGAGTAGCACCTTTCACTATTCATAGTAAATTTATGTCTGTTAGAAGGTTTGTCTACAAAGAAGGCTTTGTCGATTAGTAACAATTTTTGAAGCAGACAACGAAAAACTCAAAGCATGCCAAAATTGTTACAAATGAACGTCGTTAATAAGATGTATTAAGAGCCATTTTCAAAGGACTTGAACAGGCTTAATCAAACCGAGCCTACAAAATTTTCATTTTTTTTGTTTTGGACGTTTTTTGGACTCTTTTTTCCCTTATTGTGATGCAATAATACTAGAATAAATCAAACTTTGCTTAAGTATTTCCTTCTGTCTTTAACTTAGAAGTACACTTTTTTTACTATGTGTCCCTTTTATAATGTACACCGGTATTTAAAAGCCTAAAATGTTTCAATTTCTTTGTTTCTATGTTAAAGACGCATCCGGCACAGAACAACAGCTTGAAATGGGTTCCGAAGAGGTAGATATTGAAAGAGAAAGTAAGTTACTATCTGTAACAGTTATTTCTTTGTTGATAATTATGCCTCCTTCAAGGAAGTGGGGGTATATTGCTTTGCATTTGTCTGTCTGTTTGTCCGTCGGTCCGTAGAACAAATTGTTTCCGAGTGATAACTTCCTAGGAACTTCAAACTTGGTATGATGACTGTTCATGACCAGTAGATGACCCCAATTGATTTTCGGTCAAGGGGTCAAAGGTCAAGGTCACATTGACATTGGAGGTAAAATTATTTCCGAGTGATAACTAAAAAGCATAGGCTTAGGAACTTCAAACTTGGTATGATGATTGTTCATGACCAGCAGATGACCAATATTGATTTTGGGGTCAAGAGGACAAAGGTCAAGATCAAATTGACCTTGTAGGTAAAAACTGTTTCCGATCAATAACTTAAGAACCCCTATGCCTAGGAACTCTAAACACATGTAGAGTATTTAGATGGGGAACAGCAGTTTAAATAAAGGAATTATTTTCAGGTCTTTTTATACTTAAAAGTTTATTAACAAAGAAAGAAACCCAAAAGGGCAGACTGTCACTTCACAAGTTTAATCATTTAGATTTTTAATCGAATCATTACACTTACACATGGAAATGTAATACACAAAACAGAACATGAGAAAACGATAAAGATAAAGAACGATGTGTATCTCTTGTAACGGATGTATGATTTGCAAATCATTGAAATATCTACTTCTCCGGTTTTTAAGCAGCATAGACTTACACAAGCAGCCGCTCTGTATGACTGTGCTTATTTGTATAATTTGTCCAGAATCAATCTTTTGTCCTCCATTCGTTACTCGATTCACTTTTAGATTCAATCATTTTTATCTGATTTAATCAATTTCTTTTAAATTTTGATATAGTGTAAACCAAATGTTGTAACTTGCTTGGGCCCTTACAGGATAATCTCTATATGTCATTAATTGCATAATTCTCGCTTGTTCTCGCTTGTTCTGATCGTTGTTTATTCACATGTATGCATTATACCCTTTAACAATATTAGATTGAATATTTGTTAACTGGATATTGTTAGGGAGTAAACTTATATTTTCAATGGTTTGAAAGGCTCTTTAGTGATATCATGTCATACATAATTATACTTAATTAAGCTAGTGAATAGTTTATTTAACATGGTAATTATTAACATAACATTAACATAATAGATAAAAATGAAAATGGTATGTTCTAAAATAATGTGGCTACGATACTTCTTTTATTTCTTAAATTATATTTAATTCTTGTAATTGTTACATTATTCAAGAAAAATAATAATTTGTCACAGAGAGGAACTATCTTTTGCTTTTCTGCCATGTTGGCATTTAGTCTATCTATAGTAAATAAGTGTTTGTATGGCGGTCAAAATACTACTTTGGATAAATTATTTTACCTTCATGACACATTACAGTACATTCAATTCTACATTCTTCAGTTGTCAAACGGGTAACATGCTCTATATCCATTAGAAAGGTTATATTTGACATTTCAAAAGAATTAAAATTATGGATTTATGAGGCATTATGATCATATTATCAGCTGTTAACTTACCATACGGAAAAACATTAGAATTGAGCTCTCCTAATACTATATGAGCGTCTATATGAAACTGGAAATCGTTATCACAAGACATTTTTAACTTTCGTTAAATATATTTGAGCTCCATTGCAGTCCAATATCGAAATTAAGAGATGCGAAGACTCCAGTTTTCGAACTTATTTAGTCGCCTGTCATGAAGGGATACAATGCGGTTGCAATTCTGTTACCACAAGGGTCTGTTAAAGCAGCAGCAGCAGTAACAACAACAATCAGTATTGTTGTGTCATTAGATAACAATAATATTATGGGATTATAAAAGTGAGGAATGTCGGTATTGTTTAAGGAAAATTCTATAACAAATGTTTTATATTTCTGATCTAGGACCGGAGAAGACAAAGAGATTTGCTGCATACTATTTATTTTGTCCAAACTCGTGCTATATGACAGAGTAGCACCTTTCACTATTCATAGTAAATTTATGTCTATTAGAAGGTTTGTCTACAAAGAAGGCTTTGTCGATTAGTAACAAGAACATTCAAATTTTGAAGCAGACAACGAAAAACTTAAAGCATGCCAAAATTGTTACAAATAATCGTCGTTGTATTAAGAGCCATTTTCAAAGGACTTGAACAGGCTCAATCAAACCGATCCTGCAAAATTTTCATTTTTGTTTTTGTTTTGGACGTTTTTAGGACTCTTTTTTCCCTTATTGTGATGCAATAATACTAGAATAAACCAGACTTTGCTTAAGTATTTCTTTCTGTCTTTTACTTAGAAGTACACATTATTTTACTATGTGTCCCTTTTATAATGTACAACGGTATTTAAAAGCCTAAAATGTTTCAATTTCTTTGTTTCTATATTAAAGACGCATCCGGCACAGAACAACAGCTTGAAAATGGTTCCGAAGAGGTAGATAGTGAAAGAGAAAGTAAGTTCCTGTCGCAAAAATTAAATGCTACTATCTGTAACAGTTATTTTTTTTGTTGATAATTATGCCTCCTTCAAGGAAGTGGGGGTATATTGCTTTGCATTTGTCTGTCTGTTTGTCCGTCGGTCCGTAGAACAAATGGTTTCCGAGTGATAACTTCCTAGGAACTTCAAACTTGGTATGATGACTGTTCATGACCAGTAGATGACCCCAATTGATTTTCGGTCAAGGGGTCAAAGGTCAAGGTCACATTGACATTGGAGGTAAAAACTGTTTCCGAGTGATAACTAAAAGCATAGGCTTAGGAACTTCAAACTTGGTATGATGATTGTTTATGACCAGCAGATGACCAATATTGATTTTAGGGTCAAGAGGACAAAGGTCAAGATCAAATTGACCTTTTAGGTAAAAACTGTTTTCGATCAATAACTTAAGAACCCCTAGGCCTAGGAACTCTACAACACGAGTAGAGTATTTAGATGGGAAACAGCAGTTTATATAAAGGAATTATTTTCAGGTCTTTTTATACTTAAAAGTTTATTAACAAAGAAAGAAACCCAAAAGGGCAGACTGTCACTTCACAAGTTTAATCATTTAGATTTTCAATCGAAATCATTACACTTACACATGGGAATGTAATATACCAAACAGAACATGAGAAAACGATAAAGATAAAGAACAATGTGTAATTCTTGTACCGGATGTATGATTTGCAAATCATTGAAATATCTACTTCTCCGGTTTTTAAGCAGCATAGACTTACACAAGCAGCCGCTCTGTATGACTGTGCTTATTTGTATAATTTGTCCAGAATCAATCTTTTGTCCTCCATTCGTTACTCGATTCACTTTTAGATTCAATCATTTTTATCTGATTTAATCAATTTCTTTTAAGTTTTGATATAGTGTAAACCAAATGTTGTAACTTGATCGGGCCCTTACGGGATAATCTCTTTATGTCATTAATTGCATAATTCTCGCTTGTTCTCGGTTGTTTTGATCGTTGTTTATCCACATGTATGCATTATACCCTTTAACAATATTAGATTGAATATTTGTTAATTGGATATTGTTAGGGAGTAAACTTATATTTTCAACGGCTTGAAAGGCTCTTTTGTGATATCATGTCATATATAATTATACTTAATTAAGCCAGTGAATAGTTTATTTAACATGGTAATTATAAACATAACATTAACATAACAGTTAAAAATGACAATGGTATGTTCTAAAATAATGTGGCTACGATACTTTCTTTATTTCTTAAATTATATTTAATTCTTGTAATTGTTACATTATTCAAGAAAAATAATAATTTGTCACAGAGAGGAACTATCTTTTGCTTTTCGGCCATGTTGCCATTCAGTCTATCTATAGTGAATAAGTGTTTGTATGGCGATCAAAATACTACTTTGGATAAATTTATCTACCTTCATGACACATTACAGTACATTCAATTCTACTTTCTTCAGTTTTCTAACGGGTAACATGCTCTAAATCCATTAGGAGGGTTATATTTGACATTTCAAAAGAATTAAAATTATGGATTTATTAGGCATTATGATCATATTATCAGCTGTTAACTTACCATACGGAAAAACATTAGAATTGAGTTCTCCTAATACTATATGAGCGTCTATATGAAACTGGAAATCGTTATCACAAGACATTTTTAACTTTCGTTAAATATATTTGAGCGACATTGCAGTCCCATACCGAAGCTAAGAGATGCGAAGACTCCAGTTTCGAACTTATTTAGTCGCCTGTCATGAAGGGATAAAATGCGGTTGCAATTCTGTTACCACAAGGGACTATTAAAGCAGCAGCAGCAGCAGCAGCAGCAGTAGCAGTAACAACAACAATCAGTATTGTTGTGTCATTAGATAACAATAATATTAATGGGATTATAAAAGTGAGGAATGTCGGTATTGTTTAAGGAAAATTCTAAAACAAATGTTTTATATTTCTGATCTAGGACCGGAGAAGACAAAGAGATTTGCTGCATACTATTTATTTTTTCCAAAATCGTGCTTTTTGACAGAAAAGCACCTTTCACTATTCATAGTAAATTTATGTCTGATAGAAGGTTTGTCTTCAAAGAAGGATTTGTCGATTTGTAACAAGGACATTCAAATTTTTGAAGCAGACAACAAAAAACTTTAAACATGCCTTTATGTCACAAATAAACGTCGTTTAAAAGTTGTATTAAGAGCCAATTTCTAAGGACTTGAACAGGCTAAATAAAACCAATAAAATATGATAAACAAGATCAACAAGGAAAGGCGGCGTTCAATGAACGCAATCCCAATACAACCCAGGAACAAGAACCAGCGACAAGGAGCCCAGGCGGACCCAAACAACATCAGGACAGGGCACAAGGCTGAGCACGAACAGGCCAATCACCAAAACGATAAACAACCTGCAACCGATTAGGAATTCAAAGAAATAAAATTGAAGATTGAATAATAGAAAATAATTTGTTACTGATAAAAATTCAAAGAAAACAAATGATTGAATAATAAGCCCACAAAGACAAAGTGCACAGGGGAAGGGGACAGTAGACCCGGAGACGAGAGAGACGGGGTGGTAAATTTAAGAAATAAGACTAGGGGCAAAGGGGAAGATACTTACCGTAGACGAGAAAACAACAAGGGACAAAAGCAAAAGTGTCGCCAAAGCAGTATGAAACAATATAGACATTACATCTGAAGAACGCAGAGGGGCGCCGCCTTTAAACAGTCAGCAGCACAAGTACTGCTGGGGCGGTAAAACCGGTTAATAGTGCACAAAATCTCACTCTTGGCCCCACCATGTTCCTTTAAACGAGACAGTGTAAATGAAATGAATCCTCGCAAATGCAATTTAAACAGCTGTTATGGTTACAAGAGGTTAAATAAGTAAAACATCAAAATGATCATGTAGAAACATATAAAAGTAAACCCAATAAACATAAAAAGTACTAAATGTCCTAAAGGAAGACAGAGCAACAAGAAAATCACTTTCAAGGGCCCGACGAAGCAAGAAAGAAGACGAATATTAAGACAATTCAGTCCCAAAGGGCTTTATGAACTGTCCATCATAGAGTTTCCCACTTGTCCGTCAGATGTAATCAAAAGAGGAAAGCGTAGTGTCTAACTGTAAAAGGGTTGAACACTTAACATGCAGTATGTCTTAAAATAGTAAGGCATTAACCAATTTTAGCAAAACGTTTAATGATTTTAGTAAAAACAGACAAATTACCATGACCCAAAATCTTACGAAGTTTGAAAATCACATCGCCATAAAAACCAGGCTGGCTAATCCCTTGTCGCAGAAGAGTTTTTAAATCACTATTGAATTTTGAAATTAATCAAAATTACGATTGTAAAATTTTGTAAAATACTTCCGTTTTTATGATAGCTGTAGCCCTGTTTTAGAAGCTTGCTGGTTATGAAAATATTCCGCTCGTTGAAATCCTTTACATTACTACAAGCTCTATCGAATCTAACTGAGAAACATATACCCCGTAAGATGTTGCATGGGGTACGTCTACATCTAAATGTGGATAATTAAGTAAACAAAAGTCAAAGTCATCTTGTTTATCTTAGATTTTCGTGTGAATAGAATTATTGTTGATAGTAATATGAAGATCCAAAAAAGATGTACTAAGATTTCAAGAGTTCGTTTTATAAAGTTGTAGTTCATGGGGATAAATGTCAGGCATCATTTGATCAAAATAAGGATTGTCTAAATTAAAAATATCATCAAGATATCTGGAAATATTATTAACTGCGACTATAACATCTTAGTGTTTATCTTCAGATAGACTCCACATAAAGTCTCTTTCATAGCAGTACAAAAACAAATCGGCGACCAGGGGTGCACAATTAGCACCCATAGAAATTCCTATGATCTGATTAAATAGGGTATTACCAAACCTGACATAAATGTTGTATAAAAGAAAAGAGAGTGCTCTACAAACTTCGTCCACATAGTATAATATTTAACAATAACTTAAGTGAAAAAAAAGCTTTGTTACAATTACATGGTAGAAAGGTAACCTTTTTCCCTGCAAACATTTTCTGAAGTAGGGAAATCAGTTTATCATTAATTAATTTATGTGGCAAAGTTGTATAAAAAGTAGAAAAAATTGTATGTACTGACAGTTGAAGCTTGATAGTTCTTAATTGTGATTTTATCAAAGATTTCACCAGAATTTTTAATAGACTTAAAGAGATGTTTGCCTGTGTTTTCATAGACTTTGTCACAATATCTAATTACATTTATTTTAATGACAGTCAAACAAAACGTCAATAAAATAGACAGTTTACTTGTAGTGCAAGATGTAGAGTTAGCAATGAATCTGGCTTTGTAAGTTTTTTTATGTAATTTAGGAATCCAATACAAAATAGGAAGTTTGTGTTCTTTTTTATTAATTTGGACTTTAAAATTGGAAATATTAGTGATATGATTGTTTACAGTGTTTTTAGGAGGCAGGGGTTTTAGAATACGCCTTAGTAAAATTTAGTTCCTTATGCAAAACGTTAATGTAATGGATTCTTCATACAATTATAATATTATTAATCACCTTGTCTGCTGGCACCAAAACAAATTTTGAAGGAAAAGCTAGGATATCCTTTTTCAGATGTCTTACAGTAAGTCTTGGTTTAGGTGGCAGAAGATGTTCATTTCCACGATTAAAATATTACGTGAATCAATAATTTTAAAGATGCTACGTTTCCATGTGACTAGAGCATTACTATCCGTATTTTAACGGCGACACCATGTGACCGAAAAATCCTCTATAGGTTCAGCAATCTGACTACGACAAGCATTAAAATCAATCTCAGAAGGAATTCTGTATTTAGGTCTTTTCAAGAATAAGTTACGAATTCTTTTGTCTGCAATTATATCAAAATTACCTGTGATTATATGGCCAACATCTGAGTTACAGAATTAAGAAGTATTGCAGTCTCAAGTTGTTAAAGTATTAAACTGAATATCTAAGTCAGAGACCACGATGTTGTAATCAAATATGGTATTTCTAACTGGTTTCTTATATTTACAGCCAATAATTGGTATCTCGGAGTTTTTGAAGTATAAAGGAACTGAATCAATGACACGTTTATCGCCAAAAACACTTGGTAAACCGACGAAATCGATACCTTTATTAAGAAAGGTTACTTCGCATGCAAAATTTTCAATTTTTGTTGTTTTAGACGTGCTTTATGGATTCTTTTTTCCCTTTTTGTGATGCAATAATACTAGAATAAATCAAGGTCTTGCTTAAGTTTTTCTTCCTGTATTTAAATAAGAAGTAAACATTATTTTACTATGTGTCCCTTTGATAATGTACCCCTATATTTAAAAGATAAAACATTTGCTTTTCTTTGTTCCTATATTCAAGACGAATTTTGGACTGAGAAACAGCTTGAAATGGGTTCCGAAGAGTTTGTTACTGAAGGAGAAAGTAAGTTCCTGTTGCAAAAATTGAATGCTTCTATCTGTAACAGTTTTTTTTTAATATTGATAATTATTTCATAGTTAAATAATTGCCTCTGCTACATTATTTACTAAAACTGTATCTTGATAAAAAACTTGACATTTAAGGTAACGATAAAACATTCTTACTTTCTAACACATTCTGTTGACAAAATGACGTTAATTGTTGACAATATCGATTATCATCTATTCATATCTCTTCGATCCGATTAAAAAACTATAAGTCTGACCAGAACTGTATATTAATCATTTCAGCTGATATGAACATGACTATTCTTGTGACAACCTTGTATGACTTTCATGCAATATTAGATGATGAAATATCTTTCAGAGCCGGAGACGTTTTCATTACTTTTAGGCGGAATCTTAAGTATTTGTATTTTTAATTTTATAAACTGAAAGAAATATATATATATACTGTCATTCATTTTTATTGATAATTCAATTTTGTGCTCGTTTAATATATTTTTCAAACAAAAGTTTTCTCTTAACATTCATATATCTACTGTACTGTGCATCGGTCGAATGTTAAACTAATTAATTTTGTGCAAAGGGAGCGTAGCATATATCATAAAACATAAAAGATGAATTTAAACTAATTAAAGCTAAGTAATTAATACATTATATCAAGAGATGTTACTCATTTATACGTACCGTGTTCCATATTAATCTGCTTATCTTGTTCTCATTTTAGTGACAACAATATATGGATTAAAGCAACACACCAGGGATCAGGAGAGATGGGGTTCATACCGAGAAATTATGTTGTTACCGATTTCAAAAAATATTACTTAAAAGAGTAAGTGACATTGAATTTGAAACATAGGAATCATTAATAAATATTACTACAGACTTCTTCGACTGTAAATACAATCAGGTCCCTTACATCGGGTAACATTGACTTAAACTGACCTTTTTAACTTGGTAATGTATTCGCGATCAAACATCAAAAAAATTATTAAACTTTGCAAGATCTTAAAAACATTTGAAAAAAAGTTGAGAAATCAAATCTGTGTTTAAATGATCTGAATTCAGTTATTCGTATAATCTTTTTGTTTTCCTTAACCTTTTCCCTTATATAAGCGTGTTTCGACAGCTTTTCGCCCCCCCCCTTTTTTGAGGCCTCAAACAGTGAAAAAATGCCCTATTTAGGCCCAAAGCACTGTTTTTCGTTTGAGAAATGTTGTTTAAAAAGTGACCACTTTTTTGGCGCCGTCCCCCATCCAAATATTACATCAGGGGTTGCCCTTTGGGGGGTTTAAAAGGGGACGGCGTTCCCCTCATCACCAAAAACATTTTGGACATGTGAAAGGCTAAAATTGGCCTCAGGTCGATCTTAGGGTAACTAGTAACCGACGCTGAAAAGCCTTTTACTTTTTCTCAATTCATTGAGAAGTTGCAGCACTTTAAAATCAGTTTTGATGGAAAAAACAATGGAAAATAGAATAGTGATTTTTGGCAATTTTGAGACGTCCCCCGTTGTCATGGTAACAGGAAATTTACCATTGAGCATGCTGTTACATAGGCTATGGTGTAGTCAACATTTGTGCCAAGTTTCATTAGTATTGAAGCAATTTTCATAGTTTCATAGCAGTTTGAACTTGTTACAGGAGGCTTTTCAATGAAAACGGCCATTTTTCGCAATATGCTCATGGGGTAAAAGGTTAAGAGGTAGATAGTAGAAAAATAACTACGCCTCAAAATCGTGCTCTCCTTTTTTAACCTTATCATAAAACATGCAACACCAAATTTGCTAGGGATCACCGAAATCTCATGGCAAATTTCAGTCCTATTATCATCATTTTAAAATCATAATTCCTCTAACGATACACCTGTACGGGGATCTCATAATCGTGTACTTAAGTTATCGATTTGTCATGTACGCCTTGCACAATAAGCACGTGGAAAAGCATACCCATAGAAATTTGATGTTTTATGGTTATGTGCTTTAACTTAATCGTGTACAAGCAGCAAAACTTCTCTCGTTTTATTGTTAAACTGTGTTCGAAATTAACAAACTATGGCAAATCGACAGGTTTAGACGTCGTCTTAGTGAAGATGAGATAAACAGGAGTATTAGAATGTTGGAGGCTGGCCGTTCTCAAACGCACGTTGCCCCTGTCCTTGGGGTATCCCAGAGCGTTGTCTCCAGGATGTGGAACCGATTCCAAATGACTTGAAATGTCTTGCAGGGCCACGCTGGAGGTCGGGAACATTCAACGACTCAAGCCAAGGACCGAAATATTGTCCTTCAGGCCAGGCCCCAACGGTTCTCGAACGCTACGACCTTACGTAACGACTTCTAGAATGAAACTGGTGTGCGTGTTAGCACAAAAACTGTTAGAAACATGTTACATGAGGCTCGGTTGAGGTCACGGAGGCCAGCAATTATCATTTTTTGGACACAACGCCATATTCAAGAGCGTTTTCAATGGGCGCAGACTCATGTCACATGGACAGTTAATAATTGGACCCCGGTCCTCTTCACTGATGAGTCAAGGTTTTATGTGGACTTCACGGACAGACGGGCTTGGAGAATTCAAAATGAACGCTTAGCTCCAGTATGCGTTGCAGAACACGACCGTTTTGGCGGGGGCTTAGTAATGGTGTGGGCTGAATAGAGCTCAGAGGAAAACGAACTTACACATCATTGAAAACGGTATACTGAGGGCAGGTAGGTACGTCAAAGAAATCTTAGGCGTCCATGTACCAACGTACGCTGGAGCAGTCGGTCCTGATTTCATTCTAAGGGATGACAACGCCCTTGCACACAGAGCCAACATCACAAACAGATATCTTGAGAAGGCAACTATAGTTTTCATATATTGGCCAGCGAGGTCCACGGATTTAAATCCAATTGAGCATGCTTGTGATATGCTACAGAAAGCAATTTCTTCACGCCACGTCGAACCAACAACAGTTCAGGAGCCAAGACATGCATTCATAGAGGTATTGGATTCCTCATCACAAGGTCTACAGGTTCGTCAGCAGCATGTGGCGAAGATGTCAGACCGAAATTAATACCCGCGGACACCATACTTGGTATTAAACACCCTAAGCCAACCATTTACTTATTTGTAAGATTTTTTATTCCACTATATGATCTCCAAATGTTGATTTCGTCCAGCACACCCTTTCCGCAACAGACACACATCAAATATCACTTCCTTTGTCATAATTATCATAAAAATCAATTCCTAACTAATTATATTTAATTCCTATTAATCGATTTGCACATTTATTACAAATACACAAAAGTATCGCACTGTGGAAAAAGTGATCCCTAGCAAATTTTGAGTAGTATATTTTCGAATGGTTATAATAACCAATCTGATTCACAACGTCATTATGAATTTTACTGTATTTGTGATAACGGTCATCCTTTTGAAGAGTTTTTACAGGAATGACATATTGTTCACATTGCAAATTATCCACAGGACAAAAGATGCGAGTAAATCCTTTTTGTAAATTTAGGATTATCTACTACATTAAATCTTGCAAAAACTATATCTTTATTAATTGGTACTAAAACCCCGGAATATGTCTACCATACGATTTTGGTTAATACTGTGGAATTAGAATACAAGCCGACTATTTGTTAACTGATTTTTATAGAGACATAGTAGGAACTATTTGATTAAAAGGAAATTTAACATCTAAGTTCAGAGCAGTACCATTAAAACCTGCTATCGGTGGTGCACAATTTCTATCCATATAACAACGTGGTCGCAAACCTTTCAAAACCTAAATTTTATTATTCAATGATAAGCTTAAAAAATGCGTCTCGAGATATCAACCTTAATTTTGTTTGGGTCAAAATTATGCAAACACGACGTAACGTCGTAGAACCAATATAAATCCTTAAGATCACACGAACAAATTATTATAAAAATATAAATAACAACCAGTAAAGACTCAATATCAAATAGATTGTGTTTAATTTTCAAGAAGAAATCGTGAATAAGCAGCAAAATCATAATAAAAGCGATAGTTACAACGACTTTTATTGGTGCACTCTAACTAAAACACCACAGTTAAATATAAACTGCCGGACATTGAATTAAAGAATAAAACACATAATTTTTTTTTAATTTACTAGATGGTGGCATAAATTCAACAGAAGAGATACAAAAAAGCAGCTGTCGGCACCTCATTTCGGACCAGGAGCGTTTATCATAAGATCCGCACCCGGTAAATGGATATTTAAAGAATAATAACATTACGCTCAGGTTGTTATATAAATTATTCTTTAAAGCTTTTTATTTCTATGGAAGGGAGCAATAGTGACATAGAAAGGCACAACTGTCGCATTCCTATTCATCATTTACTAAATGATTTTTTTTATTAAATTGACATGATGAAAATGTACGATTCTAAGCCTGAGCAAGAAATAAGTTAATTAAAAAATATTGTTTTGTGAGTTAGTAATGGACATTCCAGGCCTTAGTTTTACAAAAACACAAGTTTATTTCGATATATTTATTTTATTTTAGAAAACATGTCACTGGTTTTATCCGTTAGAAAAGCAGAGATGGGAGCAAATACAGTTAAAACCCGGCATTACAAAATTAAATGTACAAACGACGGGAAATTTCGTCTTTCAAAAAATCGCCTGTTTGCTGATATGACTGATTTGATTAAATTCTGTCAAAGTAAGGTCTTTGCCTTTGTCGTTACTTTAAATAATGGCGATCATATGGTGTAAATATACGTCTTATATATATTTGGTCAAGATGTGGATATTATATAAATGAATAATCGTTTTGATTTTTACGCGTACACTTATGTTCGTTAGAAGAGGCAAATGCCTTCCATCAATCCATTTTAAGATTTTGTTGATTTTGTAGTAGTAATGTTTCGATAAAACTTTTTGACGTGGTGATAAGCAGAATGTATTGTTCAAGTTAAATCTTACTTAAGTCTAATTATACAGGATTAAACCTTGCACGAAGACCATAACGTTTAATTTAATATTTGTCAATCTTTTTACCATTACAGCGAAAATAATTATGCTTTATAATTATGGACTTAAAAATATCACCCATAACGTATTTCTTATAAAGTTTGCATGTAGTACAAAATATTTACTCCTTATAGACATGAAAATTAAAATTAGCAATCTTATTTCAGATCATTCGAATAATGGTTTATGTTGCAGACTAGGGAAACAGGTTCCAAAAACAATTCCTGACGTGCCTTTCAGAGATCTAGAATCGCCAAACAAATTGGTGACAGTCCGCCAAATTGTGTGTCCAGGCATTAGCACGGGTACGTTTCTGAGAGCTTTCCTTAAATATATATTTATATATCTGAAACTTTAATGGTTTCATTATGCTTCTTCCCATCCATGTTATAATTTTAATAGTTGCTTAAATGTTTACACAGAATTTGTCCTTTCTTGAAATTACAACAGATACATTCACATTCTTATTTTTTACGTTTCCGCTTGTGTAATAAATTATTGTAAGTTATGTCAAAATTCAGTTTGCAATAAATGCAAGGAAACATACCTTAAAAATATTTGCCTTGTTAGTACAAAGTAAAAGATATTTGCTATAGTAGTACAAGTACATCAAATAAATTCATAGACAGAAATAATATAATTATTAAGACGTTTTACATGACAATCTGTCTCCTACCTCGGACACTACAAAATAATACGAGACTTAATCTTATTCATAATAACTGGTAATATTACACAACATTTTATTCTCAGGTGAATGGAAAAACCGAGATGTTACAATAAAAGAATACAGCCAGTTGGAGAATGAAAACTTCTTAACAGAGATAGATATATTGAAGCGATTGAAACACCATAATATTATAAATCTACTGGCCGTGTTCACAAAAGAGAAACCGTTCCTGATGGTTTTTGACATGATAACAATAGGTACTCTCCATAGTTATCTCAGACAAGATATGGGAAAGACCATAACACATGATCAACTTCTCGATATGGCAATTCAGGTAGATCAACGTGTATTGTTTACATATGAAAATCTCTCATTATTGTTATTAAACTTGTTAATTGTTATGACCATCGTCATAATATTAGTAATTATTGTATTTAATTTAACATATTAATAATTATAATGAAGTTACCTAATAAAAAGCTTAAAGCAATTTACCACAATTGCTCAAACAATAGAAATGAAATAATCTCAGAATACAAATAACCTAGATGGTTCAGCAAACATGTGCAATTTATGTGTCAGCATTGTCTTTAGCATTTACCTCAATGTTACTTTTAATTATTTATTTATATTTACAAATAAAACGCTTTTTGGAATATAATTTTCTTTTTATTTCCCTAGATTGCAAAAGGTATGGATTATCTGTGCAAAGAACAAATTGTCCATAGAGATCTTAGGACAGAAAAAATACTTGTCGGGCATGGAAATCAACTCAAAATTGCCGGACTTGAAATGGCAAAAAGGGTTCAGAATGATGGTTATGTTTCACTAGACCGTATGTTAAATATTTTCATTTTTGTAAGGTCAGACGGTGATCAAAGTAAAAATCGGAAAATATAATTTACGTTACTTAACACAGCGAGCAATGTTTCAGTCCGTTTTAAATCTGTATAAATCGATTATTGTTTTTTGAATAGCGTTTTACTATTTCATGTTCCGAAAAATAATAACAGTGAACATTATAGCTACAATATTTATCACCATGCACTATTAAAGGACCAAATGAACTGTGTACCCAAATTGTGCTGCTCCTTGAACTTTTGAACCGGTATGACTAAATTACGCAACGGAGATGTTTTGGCGCAAATGGCACACATTTTTCACAAGTTAGATTTTCTTGAACAATTTTGGGTTTGAGGTATGCAGCTGTATATACTGTTTATTCCAATCAAATGATATATACATTTTTTTATTCAAAACGGGGACTAAACCTTTTACGAGTACTGCATGAGCATATTGTGAAAAAGGGCCTTTTTCATTGAAAAGCCACCTGTTATAAGTTCAAACCGCTAAGTAACTATAAAAATGTTTCAATACTGATCAAACTCGGCACAAATGTTGACTGATCCATAGTTTTTGTAACAGCATGCTCAATTTTAAATTTCCTGTTTCCATACCAATGGATGGACGACTGAAGGTTGCCAAAAATCACTATTTTGCGTTGTGTTTTCCCATCAAAACTGATTTCAAAGTACTGCAACTTATCAATAGATTGAAGATAGAGTAAAAGGCTGACACATTACCTTAAGATCGTCTGAGGTCATTATTAGCCGCAGAAAAGACCAAAATTGTCTTGGCGACAAAGCGGGCTACTGCCCTGTTTCACATCCGCGTCTAGCACCTCCTTGATGTATCTTTTGATAGGGGACGGTGCCGAAAAAGTGATCAATTTTTAACACAATTTCTATACGAAAAACAGTGTTTGGGGCCTAAATAGAGCATAACACAATATTTAATGCCTGAACAGATGGGGTGGGGGTGGGGGTGAAAAGCCGTGAAAAAACGTTGATATGAGGTAAAAGGTTAACCAAAAATGATGAAAACCCTTGGAATTACCAAAAATCTATTTCTTTTCATGTTAACACGTGTCCTTACACATGGTTCAGGTTAATAATTGTTGTTTTTTTGGCATTATATTATTTTTGAAATTTTACTTTTCTGTATGAGCATATTATGGAAAATAACTGTTTTCATTGAGAAACCTCCTGCTGAAAGGTCAAACTGCTATAAAATAACTTTTTGGGTTGTTTTCTCCATCAAAACTGATTTCAAAGTACTGTAACTTCTCAACAACAAGGATCAATTTTTAATACATTTGTATAACGAAAACATTTGGATAAATGAGCTTAATCAAAATTTTAATGCTTTAAAGATGTGGTGGTAAACCTTTGAAACAACTTTATAGTAAAAGGTTAATGATGAAACCCTTTAATTAAAAAATCTATTTCTTTACATTTAACAGTGAAATGTTCAGTAATATGATGCGTCGGAATATTATCGTTCAAAACATTTAAAAAATCAAAATGTAAAACAAACTTTCATTATGATACTTTATTCAATATACATGTATATAATTTATACTATGTTGTTAAATAATTGTAATTTATAATAATTCATTGTGCCTTTTATGCACAAATATCTCCAAATATTATCGAATTGAAAAATCTTCCAGCTGCAAAAAGACTTTTCGCACGTTTCTTTTTAAAGAAGCAAATTTGTAATATCTATTCTTTATAACATTAATTGTATCGTATATTACAGCCATGGACAAGATTGCAATTAAGTGGACTGCACCGGAAGTGTTTAATGAAGATAAATTCACAATTCATTCAGATGTGTGGGCCTTTGGTGTGTTACTTTATGAGATGATTACTTTTGGAAGTATACCTTATCTAGGTTTGCAATTTTTTTTTCATAAGTCGATATTTTTAAGCATAATTGAAAAGGAAACAAATAAAGGTATTTTAAAGAAAATTTAAATTGTTCCAAGATGTTTATTAAGGACAGGGGTATATGCAAGAAGCTACAGTCAGTATTACTTCAAGAGATAATGATATGTATTGTTTCCCTCTCTTGACTAGTCCGTTTTTTGCTTTGTTTTGTTGATTTATGGCTTAAATTGAATTTGCTTTAAGAATAAACTTAGTAAATATTGCAACATATTTTTTTGTGTTGAGAAAAAGAAAACTTAACATCATGACTTCACTCCCTGGTAGTCTGGCTTATCAGTCCAAACTTTGCTGTTAAGATCACGTTGCAACTTAAGTCATTTGTCTAAAATATATTTGCTGAAACAATTCGACAGGATAAGCAATGTTTTCTTTAAACCTCAGAGTACTAGATTATGAAAATCGCCAAAAAGGTATAATAGTAAAGCCTTGTTTTTAGCATTATCCGGGTAAAGTATATGTTATGATTTGATATAATTTCTTTTTGACACAGGTATGCGGTTTTACTTTTTCAGGAATGAACAATCAAGAAACAGTGAATAAAGTTCAAGAAGGGTATAGGATGAAAATGCCAGATGATGGACCTATTCTTTGTCCACGAGAATTATATGACATCATGTTGTTTTGCTGGGACAAAATTCCCACAAAAAGACCCACATTTTTTAGAATTATTATTTTACTTCACAATAATGCTAGTCCAGATACAAAACAGCATCCTGTAAAAGATAAGCATTCTAAAACAGAAACAAAAGCCAAAGGCGGAACAAACAAAAAGACCACAACGGAGAAAAATACTAAAAAGAAATGCGTGTGCATGTAAAACAGACAGACATATACACAATTTCTTTCATTTTAACCAGCTTTACTCGTATAAGCAGAAATCATTTCTGAATCAAAAACATTCAACCGTAATGTTAATACGCAAAAATCATGGTATCGATTTATGTGAGCTGACAATACAAACTTTTATAATTCCTTGAATGTTTCATGCAAACACCCTAACCCTGAAATTTAAATGATTTATTGCTTAAATTTTCGCTTTAACCCCCCACTTCTTAAACGAAAATCTTCTAGGGCGAGGTTTTTGTTTTTCTTTTAATTTTGGTCTTCACAACTGGAGGAAATCAATATTCATGGTGAAATTTTGTCAAAGGCTTTAGGTTGTCAGACTTTGACTGCTGTTAAATAAAATGCATGCCAGGCTGTGTTATCAAAATCACACTTATGTTTGTTAAATAATCAAAACAACTTTTCCAAACCCCAATTACTAGGGTATTTGAATCAAAAACAGTAGCCTTTTAGGAGTATTAACACGTTTTTTTCCATTTTTGCGATGTGACCTAGTTTGACTCTAGTTATCCATCTGAAACGTGACGAGAATTTCTAAACAAATGTTTTGCCTAATTTCCCCAGGGTATTGTGAATTGGAAAATGCCCCAGAAAACCCCAATTTTCAAGCTATGCTAAAAAAAAATCAAAAACTTTTTCTGACAAATGTTCATTTTTTTGGGACTAAAACAATAGAAAATTTAGAGGGGATAACAAATTTTTAAATTTTTAAATTTCCTTAATTTTTTTTAAATCCAAAGAACTGTCAAGATAATTACTTGGGAAAACTCCCTTTAGTCTAATGACAATTGAAACAAAAAGCTACTAGAGTTTTAAACGAACTTTTAAAAATTTAAAAATTTTTAATCATCCCCCTTGGGGGTCAAAAATTTACCTCCCCCGGGGGTTTCAAGTTTCAAATATTTTAAATTTTTTTATAAATTTTTAAAATCAAATTTGTATGAAATTTAAATCCCGAAACTTGTCGCCTCTAAAAAAATTTAAAAATGACCTGGGATCAATATTTGCAAGCCACAGGGTACATTGACATATATGTACATAGCTAAATACATTAATTATCATTTTTTGTTGTAATTGAGTATATTTAGAGATTGCTTGCATTTATTTAAAAATGATTGGAGACCTGTTTTTTGTGACTTGCCAGTTTCAAAACAATACATGTGCATGACAATTTTAGTGATATACAAAATATATGAAATGTAAAATAAGAAAACAAGAACCAACAAGAAGTGCTTGTAATTCTTATATGCATATATCATATTTCCTCAACTAATTGGTTTACAAAACGGGTCATGTTGACATATTTGATGTTTAAAACACGACAAAAACCTTATTTTGTATATTTTGCCCAGAAAGTGTACTTACATTGCAATCGATGGAATTGTTTCAGAGATCTCCCTAGCAGGAGAATGATTTTCTCAGACATATACTTTTAACAATATTACAGATATTAATTGTGCATTGCCAAGTATCATGTAATTGACTTCCCTCGGTAATAAAAAGAAATAATAATTTTTTTTTTTCGAAATGTTTTGTTCGAACTTTCATCCAAAAACAGAGTAAACAATATATATATCTTATTGTAATTCTTAAAATTATCAAGCACAACCATTTATTTTGATCAAATTTTACATCTTTATTTGTATTCACTAGTCTACGTGTCTTACAAGACCACTGCCGTATTAACTTACTTTATTTTTGTTCATGTCTGCTTATCATCAACTACTGTATGAAAATTAATCAATTCACTGACATTCAATGATAAGAGTGTGGACGTTTATAGCAATTACAAACATTTTTGCGCAAAGATTAAGGGTTTTTCTCGAAAAAAAAGTAATAGTTTTTACTTATGAGCATTTTTTCGTAATAAAGTATTCCATTAACCTCAGCAGAATAATCTAAATAATTAAAACGGCCGATTTTGTCATCAAAGACTGTCCTTTACATACTAAAACCCAAACTGAGCATTGCTTTATTGGTTTCCAATAAAAAAATTTTTTAAAAAGTATGAAAATCGAATTCATTTTATTGATCAAAACAGGACAGTATAGTTTGTTATTTACAGTATTATGGAAACTTAATACATCGCCCGAATTATCAGAGGAACATACAGCTTGTCCGTCTATGTGAATAAAAAATATCGTGCGAATCGCAAACATATCTTCGTTGGGTCGCATTTGAATTTGGCAAAAAAGCCAGGAATATCGAGCTGTTAGCACAATAAGACTATAAAACTCTAAATTAAAGTAAAACTTAATCCACATTTAAAGAAGAATCATCTTCTTACGGATATGAAAATATATCTATAAATGGGGTTGAGAGTTAAAAGAATGAAGTACAAATTAAAGATGCTCCAAGAGAGGTATAGAAAGGGTATTCTTATTACAATGTACAAGGGTTTAAAAATCAGGGGAAGGTTAAATAAATAAAAATTCGATGCTAAAGAAAAAGCCACTTATCATTTTTTTTGGGATCTCAAAACCCACACCATATTTATTATAAGCCACCCAAAAACTTTAAATTTTAGAATAGGGTTTAAAAGATTTCCCAAAGACTGGCATAAGTATTGGATCAGTTTATAATTTAGGGAGGTTGGACAAAATCAAATAAAAAAGGTAGGGAAATAGTTTCCAATCATCAAAGCTAACGGCTCGGGTAAAACTATTTTCCTCGGGGTTATATTTTTACTTATCAACTCACAAACCTAGGTATCAGAGCATAGCTCGCATGATTTGCACGATCAGTTTTTTAAAATTAAATGTCCAAGAATCATACCGACTTTCTATAAGATTACTAAAATGGGCCATAACTGATATTATTCATTTCAACATTGCGGTATGGAATCCTTAAATTTCGTTTCGATGAAGAGGTTACTAGATAAATTCAACTGACCACTGGAAATTTTGACCTCAATGTTGTGACCTTGACACTTGGTCACAAGGACATTGCTTGTACGCAACACTCCCGCCTTAACATTTGTAAACAGTTTGCAAATTTAATAAGGCACATTCCCCTAGAATTAAGGGTTTGGCTCTAGACAGTTTTTTCTTCAATTAATTTCAAGTGTGACCTTGTCCCTTTGACCTAGAGACCTTTGATCATGTGTAAAAAGAGCAACACATCTTCTATTTTGAATACACAATTCTATAAAGTATTACAAAATCTTCGACGCATATTGGAGATATACTCCTAGGACAAAAACTCCAAACATAATAATCATCTTAAGGGTAACTTTGACGTTGCATATAATTGACCCTACAGAATTTACATATGGCATAACCATGATCAATTTATTTGTAATCCACCAATAAATGATAACTTAATGTTTTTTTTTTTTTTTTTTTAACAAATCTTCATATTGGTTTTTCTTTCAAAACGTTGAAGTTTATGTTTGACCTTGACCTTTGGTCGCGGGTGCTGAATTTCCATGCGACATCCCGCTCAACAATTTGTTGAACAATGAATAATCAAGTTTTTATCGGCAATGTAGAAATTTTTGCCCTGGACAAGCATTTTTTCATTTGATGTTTTTCTTTGACCTTTTTTAATATGAGCGACCAACCGCTTTATAGTGCTAAATTCTGGAAACAAAGTGATCCCTCGGAAGCATTAATCACAAACAAAATAACAGAAAGAATTGCAGACGGGGGGTTTTGATTGAGTCTGTAGCCATGAGTGATAATGAATAAGTGCAACATCACTCACGCCCCCTAAGCACCGGCTTTGAGCGGTACTTCAATTCTCAACACTTTATAGTGTTGGCATCAATGATCCTGAAGGACCATAAAAATAACAACCACTGAAGTGAAGTACGGGGCAACTTTTTACGGCTGCCACACGGCACTTGACACCTGCTGCGCTAAAGCCTTTCTATTGAGAGACCATTAAAAACCCTTTTCACTTCGTATAGGAGATATCTTCCGGACAAAATTGGCGTTCCCATAATGCGTCCCGTTTTTCAAACGGGCGTTTAAATTGAGTAAAGAATCCAATGATATGCGTTGTTTAAAACAACTAGAACTCCGCTAGTTGGATGTGTCGCCTTGTGAACAATATAGTTTAGTAAAAATGGCCAGGACAAACATGAAATTTGAAAATCAACAAAGGGCAATAAATAAAAAAATAAGAAATCCAGATCTATCATCCTATTTAAGTTTCAAGTCTAAACTTTATAATTTATGAAAAATGCCTGGACAAAAAAATAAATATAAAAATTAACAAAGGGCAAATAACTAAAAACTAAGAAATGCAGAGTACCAGTTATTATGCACTGTTACTTCTTCTTAATGAATCTATCATCCTATGAAGGTTCAAGTCAATAGCTTTTATACTTAAGGAGAAATGGCCTTGACAAAAATAAAGTATGAAAATTAGCAAGGGCAATAACTCAAACAATAAATTAAATGAAGAGTTTCCAGTTCTTGTGCACTGCACTTTTTCTTAATGAGATCTATCATCCTATGAAGTTTCATGGCAATAGCTTTAATACTTTAGGAGAAATGGCCCGGACAAATATAAAGTATGAAAATTATTAAAGGGCAATAACTCAAAAAATAAAAAGTACAGAGTAACCGATTTCTTGGCACTGCAATTCAGGTCATTGGTAAGAAGCATGGCAATACCCTTTAAAAGTTCAATCCCACTTATAATAACCCTGACTTATGTTCCGGACAAGGTTAAGGGGGACCCGACACCGAACAACGGACAACGACCCGACAACCCGCCGCCGACAAAAGTCCCCCTAATATCGCTTTTTCAAAGGGGCGACACAATAAAAAAGTAGGAACTTACATGAAGGTGATCAAATGTCAGCCATAATTTTTTTGTTGAAAACTTTTCCAGGGTTTCAAAAATTTAAACTTTCAACTGAAGTATTCTGATGTTAACATTTGAAAAGAAACTTGTTGAGGCATTTAATCTTTACCTAAAAAAACGCGCTGTTACAATTGCCTAAAAAGAAAATTAAAATAAAAACAAAACCTACCTAATCAGGGTTTGCACACATGTAACTTGTATGTAAAATAAAGTTCCTTCCAATGATAAATATGTGATATGCATGAATTTTGGAAAACTTTTTTAAAATAACATCTATTTTAATGACACTGAATTTCTCCATTACCTTGAAAGAATTATTTATCAGGTGAAAATTTATATTCCAATAAGGCCAGGAAAACACAGCTTATCTTAAGTCCAATGTTTTACATAGCATGTACACAAAAGTACTGCAAGGTTAAGTATGTTCACTTATTATGGACATGCTTACAGATAAAAAATTTATCGAATTTAATCCATAAAATAAAGCAGGGATAATATTCCTTCTAGTAATAATTCATTAAAAATGAATTGAAACAGGCCTTCTTGCAAAATTAATTAAACATAAAAAGCATAAATTCAGGAAACTGTAAATTTTAATTAAATAGTATTAATTACATCAAACTGGTTTTTTAATATGATATTTAATATTTAAAAGAATTATGCTAATGTTATTTAAATATTTTTTAAATAACAATTTTTTAAATACATAAAAACATACTACATGGTATAATATTTAAATTGAAAGAGAAATAAATTACCATTACAATTCTATGAAAAGTTTAAGGTGCCCCTTCATTAAGCTTTGATTAAAAAAAATCTACTTCATTATGACGCGTCTTCGCCTTCTATTAGCACCTCATAATACTGCTCAGGATTTCCGTCTTTTCCAAAAAACAGGAAAAAACACCTTTGGTAACCAAAAATTCAGAGACCCCTGTTCTATTTCTGTCCCACTGGTGGTTGATTTCTCCTCCAAGTTTAAATTTTTATTTTCTTAAAAACGTGTTGAATCTGCACAAATGTTGTAATAAAATATATTAAAATAACCTTGCCAAATCCATCTTAAGGCAAATCTAAAATCTGAAATAAATATTAAAAATTTTTTGGCAATTTTTAAACTTAAAATTAAGTTGCAAGTTAAATTTGGCTCCAAATTTTTGGATTTTATGCAAAATTTATGTTTTAAAATAGTAAACAAAAAGTTAAATGAGAACTTTACAAGTTTCTTATAGTGTATAAAGGCAATAATATAAATTTATAAACCCATCAATGATAGGGAAAGGATTGATGTACTTGCAACACATTTTTCAAATTTTTTCAACGTTTTTACAGACCACATGAAAAAACCTGAACAAAATTAATTATAACAACTTCATTTCAAAAATTATAAAATTCAAAATAGGGTATATTTTCCCCAAATTAAAATACAATACACAACAATTAAAAATTCCATGAATAATATATCCACATTAAATTTCATTAATTTTTTTGAGGCACACTCATAACACCTACGGTTACTTGCATAATTTCATCTTTCCATTCATGTCATTTCCGCTTCCATGAGTTTGAGAAAATTTTCTAAATACCAATATAAAGGTCAGGCTAACTTACCCTTCAAAGCTATATGATAATCATAAAGTTTAATAAATATTTTCAAAGAAATAAAATAGAAAATTAATAAAATCGTTTTTACAGCCATGTGCGAAACCCTTGTTTTTGTTACTTTTGATGAGATTAAAACTAAAGTTAAATTATTTTTTTTAAAATGGTATGGTCATGAAAATGGCCGGGGTCCGGTTTGTTTTATTTGTTAAAATACTTGAACAGAATACCAAGTGTATAAATTATATAAACTTAACATCTGGTCTTCCCGGGAATAAGTTAAAATCATTTAAAAGAAAATTTTTTCCCAGGCGTTTCTTAAATCTTTCCACCATGTTAGTTTACTTGGTGAAAACCCTTCTAAACAATTAAAATTAAATTATCACCTTTACGACAGTCGGGTAACTATACAATGTACCATCCGCCAAAATTGTTACAAAATAAAAAGAACTCACGCGAATTGTTTCATATTTCCATGAAATTTACGTGTATTTAAAAATATGTCGCTTATATATAATTTTTCTAACAAGACGAAAAATAAATGATAAAAAAAATGTAATTTCATTAAGATACGCAAAAATTGCCCGATCTTTCAGGTGAGGTCACTTTCAGTGTTAATATTTTTACTTCCTTCCTTAATGCGGTAACAGAAAGCCGACAAAATGTAAATAAAATACAAGGGAAGATATTACTTATGTCGGGTATAAAGCAATCGAATTGGAAAATTCAATTATTTAAGGGTCTGTTCCTTAATATTTTTGTTCATGGGAAAATGATGAATCGTTTTAATTTATTTCACTAAAGCGAAGCATAAACATGATATCCTTTGAGGAAAAAACCGACGTAAAGGACAGAAGGATTTGAAATAAAATGACGGGCAAAATGTATGCCGAGCACGTGAAAAGTTCTAAATACGTAAAAGGAGGTTATTTAAACAAAACTTTATAACTCGGTGCACTGCGATTGATATATGACTAAATGTTTATGAAAATGTTTAATTTAATTCATAGGCTTTAAACAGAATTTTGAATAGCAGTATGTGGGTAATTTTTCTGTTTTCGAAAAATTGTGCGAACACTGTCATATTTTGATTTTGGAATCAATAAGTCACTCTAATGGTGATATATATCCCTATATATTTATTTAAACTATTAACTTTTTTTTATAAAAACTATTCTTCTATTTTTTAATTCAGCAACTGCCATGTAATGTTGAGGAGTAGCAAATTCACAAGTTTGATGTACCTTAACTGCATGCAAATTGTCGTTGCTGTAGTAAAATCCACAATTTTTACGAATGATTTTTTCATGAGTTATTATATGAAATCAAAAACAAGTCAGTTTCTATTAAAGTCGAAAAATTTACAATTTAAATTTACACATCACTTTATAAAAATGAATACATATAAAACGTTTGAAAGTTCATATACCATTTCTGCTTTTAATTATTAATGCTATTCTCAAAGTGCGAATGTTATTACAGTTACGCACGCTTTTCTTGCAATAAAGCATTTTATCTGACCTAGCTATGCAGTACCATTGTTTACAAAGCGTTGATATTGACAGTCCAATATTTTTACCTATTCTCTCAATCAATTGATAGATGTTACAACTTCGAGCACGATAACGTTTACATAATCGATCGTTACCTTTTTGATATAATGGGTCGTGCAAGTTATTCAGTTATTACAATTTTGCATTTAATTGGCAGTATAGAGGAATAAAAGTGGCCGTAGTGGTTAGAATGTTCGGGATTATGAAGAATTTAGGTTAGAAAATAGTTTTTTTCGAGTTTAAATCCGCAACTGTGCAATATTTTGTCAGTGTCTCAATTGTTTTACAGTCATAAAAACATGTTTAATATTTTTCTTTTTAAAATCTGTCATTATATATTTTTTTACACTTTAAACGGTTTAGAAAAACTGATTGTATTTGAGCCGCGTCACGACAAACCCAACATAATGGGTTTGCGACCAGCATGAATCCAGACCAGCCTGCGCATCCGCGCAGTCTGATCAGGATCCATACTGTTCGCTTACAAACCCTATAACAAGTAGAGAAACTAATAGCGAACAGCATGGATCCTGATCAGACTGCACGGATGCGCAGACTGGTCTGGATTCATGCTGGTCGCAAACGCACTATGTTTGTTTTGTCGTGACGCGGCTCATTTGAATTTCACAGTGATTTAACAAATTGAATACATGTAGTACTGTCAATTTAATATGATTTAAATTTGCTATATTTTTTAACAATTTCGGCTCATTTGTATATTTATATATTTAAATTTCTTCCATTCCTCATTTATCACTCTAATCACGACTGTGTTGCCTATAACTTAACCTGTTAAAGGCGAATGTGTGTAATGCTAGATGTTCTCAAATAGTATTTTGTGAAATAAATTCACGAGGAACTAAAATCCAGTTCGTAGAAAAAAAGAAAAACATATAAGAAAAGAAAAAGTGCCATTTCCAGGAATTGAACCAGGGTCTATACACACACGAAAGCAACACTCAATTACTACTCTATTTCGCTGGAGCGATAAAAAAGGTGTAATTGTTAAGGTTGATAAAGATTAAGGCGAAACCTAGTATGCTTTTATATAAGAATTATCGACACCTCTACTTGTCAATATTGATGGAACAGATAATAAAATGAATAGCGAATTGTATTTGCCGCGTTGTACTGTATCAGATTGTTTATCATGTATGTATTTAATAACTTGAGCTTAGTATGATTAAACTGTTTTTCTTTTTTTGTCATAAGTAAAACTTAATATTTGCTGAGAGGTTTGCATTTTTCATTTTAGCAAACGAAAATAGATTTAATGTCTGTGACAGTTTTGCATCTGTTGATGTGTTTTTTATTATTGTTGTTGACATAAATGTGTCTTAGTGCACATAAATGAAGGACACTTGTTAAGGTGTCTTGTTCAGAGACTGTGGATTCGAACGGGGTCCTACTAATAATAATTAAAAACAACAACAACATTAACAACAAATACAACATCATCATCATCAACAACAACAACAACACCACAAAACTACAGCTACAGTTCTTCACCCTTTATATACATTAGAGAAATTGCAATAAACATTTTCACATTCTATGTTTCTATACACTTTATAATCAACTAGCTTTCACATTCGGCAAAGCATTAAATTGTTTTTGTTTTTTTCATTTAGTAAGTCTGGTCTGGTTGGTTTCTCATATTTGCAAGTGATTTGTAGCCTTATTGAATACAAGTTATTAAAAAATATATGCTAGAATTTAATATAAGTCTTTCATATTGTATTAGACAATTAAGCATATTAATCTTAATTTCAAAAAGAGAAGGTAAAAAAAGAAAGGCAGTAAATAAATGCCAAACAGCAATTTAAAGGCACTTTATGCCTCAGAAATCTATATTTATAATTCTTTGGAAATTTCATTTATTTAATCATGCTTTTATAATATATTTAGTTGTTTCAACTGAAGAATGCCGTGTTGTGTCGCAAAGGTAGCAAAATGTAAACAAAGTAGTAGTTTTACTTCCATACAAAATACTTTTTTGCTATAATTATACCAATTACCAACAGAAAAAAGTGGCAAAAATGTTAATACATATTATTCAAACCAGTTTTTCTGTTTTAAAAGATGTAACAAGATATCAAAACTAAAAATGTTTTTGAGAAATAAAATTGACAACAATTCTGATGCATAATGGGCCTTTAATTCGGTTGTCACGATTAGTTCATGCCGTTTCTTTTAATGCGGTTGATTTGTGTCTTTCTTCTTCTTCGGAGCAGCAGCAAAACATCATGAAGATCTGTAATGGTACATATTTATCTACAAAATCTTTTACAGTTTCAATTTAAATAATAATTGAGCCGTGTCACGACAAAACCAACATAATGGGTTTGCGACCAGCATGGATCCAGACCAGCCTGTGCATCCGCGCAGTCTGGTCAGGACCCATGCTGTTCGCTTACAAACTCTATAACCAGTATAGAAACCGATAGCGAACAGCATGGATCCTGATCAGACTGCGCGAATGCGCAGGCTGGTCTGGATCCATGCTGGTCGCAAACCCATTATGTTGGTTTTGTCATGACAAGGCTCAATTTATTTTGTACAATACTGGATGTTCTGCCTCTCATTTACTTTGATTATTTTAACAAGTTTGTACGAACAAGGTTTTAATATGAAAGTTAATTATTTTATTATTAATGACATGCTATGCTTATAGTTCCACCAACAAGATAAAAAGCAAGACATATCCGAGGACAGCGCGCTTCACGTTTCCCAGTGCTAGATGGTTGAAAAAGTGACATCATAAAAAGAGGGTATAAATGTATCATATCATCATAAATGTATCATATCATTTGTAAATCATTATATCATATGATCATCATATGATTTCATGTCAAATGTATTAAATCATATCATAATTGTATCATAAATCTGCAAACATGCGAACAGGAAGAAAAAAAAACGTACCAAGACAGCTTCTACCACAAAGCAGATGGAACACATATCCTTAATGTCTTTCAAATCATTGTAGTGCGAATTTGCAGTTGCTATAGCGTTAAAAACAACTGAAATATAAGTTGAGCATTAAAACTGACATATAATTAAGAGTTTCAATTTGCGTATTTTAATTATTAATAAACATTATTCATATGCGAGTGTTTATCGAGTGAAATTTAAACGATTAAAGGCCCTAATGGAAGCGACCAACAGACAGAGACCTAGGTTCGTAATTGTTGAAATGTTCACTAAATAAAAATAATTTACTTAGTGTACCCATGTGCATCGATTGACAAATATTCATCTATTTGTAATTTCGTATATTTGTGTTAAAAATGACCAGATCTTTGGGTAAGTCTATATCTTCTTCATCTAATTATGAACTACAGTATCCCTTCATAAAAAGCGGTAACTGTTTGAGTTCCGAATCTTTCCAATGTCCGGTCGTCCTAATAAGGAAGGGCTACTACCTTCTGATTTCGTATGCGCACCGTTCAAACGTTCAAAACTCTTCACAACTAAGTGTTCGTCTTGATAAATAAGTGACAAAAAGTGCCTGTCTACGATTAAGGGCATTTGTTTGAAAATTGGAGAGATTTCATTGGTCGACAAATGATGTTGAACACTAATATTCTTATTTCTCTTATTTTATTTCCCTTACTTATTCAATTATCTTTATGTATTTTATTTATTATATACTCTTATAAACTTTATATAAAGGAAACAGGTGTATTCTTACAGCTGTAAAATGCATTTAATCCTGCAGTGTCGTTTATTTCTTTGCTTCTGTTATATCCAGGCAGAAAACACAAACTTATGATTTCTACGACAAAGCTTATCCCTTTAAAAGCTAAATGTCCTTTTGACAAATGTAGACCTGAAAAATAATTATTATCAAATGATCAAATTTTCAAAATTATCAAATAGATTTATCTGTAAATTCCGCTCCTTTTTCACGACAACATCTTTAGATAACAAATAAATCAAATAGACAAAATAGGAATTCATAAAGAAAGTCAAAAACGGCAAAACTGACAATGTTGAAGGCTTTGTTTGATTGCGCCTGTCCATGGGTGGTACTGTTAAGTGTAAACTGCCGTCCACGCCCCCCCCCCCCAAGCACCACTTAAGCGGAATTCAACTTTTTAACATGACCTTTTGAACTTTGAAATATCCGCAGATGATTATGCATTAAAGGACAGTTTCTTATGTTATCCTATATGTTCGGGTAAGTAAATTATAAAATAATTTACCGCCGGGATTCCTAAACGGTGTAGAAATCCTTATTCCCGTTTCTCTCCTAAGGATAGGACAGGCCAATCTCGTGTTGACATTCCGTTATCCACTTTCTTTTGTGGTAGTTTGTGATACTTGTAATAAATAGACATTCCATTCAGTTTGACTTTGAATACAAACCAAACTAAACAAAGACATACGGTTTAAGTAAACTATATAATACCTTCTTATTTCCTACGTCTAAACGCCTCTATATGTGTAAATATATTTTCAAAATTAGTGATAATTAATGAAAGTATATCTACATGTATGAATGAATTAATAATAATACACTGTTTCTGTCCTTTATGAATGACACTTGCTTAACTGTTTATTTTTCTACATGGAATTGTTTTTTTTAATATTTTTGTTTATATTGAAAATCTTTCGTGCAGATTTCGTTTCGCATAGATCATATTTATTTCTTGCATATCAGAGAGGATTATCTACTGTTAACATAAGTGCTAGAAAAACCTTACTAACATTCCCCATGTAAGACAACTCGTGTGTTTTAAATGACGTCATTCCCACCAAGCGCCTTTTATGAATAAATTGCGTTCTCAGCAAGGCGTCAATTTGCCGTTATGAATGAAGTTGTAAAGTTATATCTTACTATGAATACAAATGCTAAATCAAAATATTAGTTACGTGATTTCCTTTCTTAATATCATTTATTTGTTAAATGCAAGAAAATGGATCAAACACCGACTGTTGTTTACATACAGGAATATCTAGCTCATGTAAGATTATTATAATATAGACTTGAGATTTACAATTCACATTTGACGACACATTAACAAATGAAGATACTCTTTGTCTTTAATATTATGAATTAAATAGTTTTTTTAAACCGACAGCTGAAGTTCTTATTGATCTGCTGTTTTTCAGTCTGTTAAAAGACAACTAGGTAACTTTTATGGTAAATTATTAAGCGCCTATATGATGTTCGAAAAATTCGACCTTCGCGTTTTTGACAGGATTTATCTATAAATTTGTCTTTAAGAAGCAGTAAATATCGACTTTTGCTTAGCATTTAAATATTAACAATATCACTTAAAAAAAGTTTTCTTACTCACCTTTGTAAAGGCAAATAAACTTTAAAATTCCAAGAACAATACACTTTAAAGTAACACACTCTTTTTTACTCATATTTGATTAATTAAACAGCTTAAAAAATACGAATTACAGTTTCATTATTCAGACTATGTTTGGCACGCATTTAAGTCACAAACTGATACGCTTCGTTTAAATTTTACTTCTTCATCTCAATGGGCAAAAAGTGTTTACTTTTTGATAATGGGCTTTTATATTAATGTAATAAATCAATATCAGGACGTTTTGTTCTGTTGTAAAACGTAAATGAAGGTATTCAAATGGTTTTGATATTGCTGTATTTATTTTTTGTAAAAAAAGTTAAACTATCGATATAAATAAATACGTCAATGTTTTTTCATCTTTAGCCTCATTTGAAAATGCACGAATGAGCGAATTTATATTTCAATTGTTCAACGGATATTTAAGAGTTCCTTGTCAATTTGATACTGAAAGAAATCATTACAACAAAATTAAAGTTTTTTTTTGAAATTCTTTATAAAAAGGAAGATATATCAGTAATAAATGTATTTTACTATATGACGACTAATTTACCCCAGTTGCCGTCGTTTGGCAGTCGATAGAAAGTAATATCTGACAAAGATATTGATGAAACATTATGTGTAAAATGCAGATTTAGACGGCGCTTCACAAGGATAAAATAGCTTTTCTTTCTTCTGGAAATTTACAAGTTTTAATAGGAAAACAACACTTGCGTATTCTGTCCATTTAAATCAGGCTTGTTTACATGGGAAAGAAAGTAAATAAAAGACGTTTCCGGAGGTTTCATATAGACACATAGGCAAAATTAAAACTGTTCAATAGAATTTCTTTTAACTTGGCAAGTTATAAGAATATGATATTTAGATAATAGAAACATTTTAAGCGGAAAAAAATTTGGGATCACCGTACTCATTTTCGAGTTATCTGCCCATTGAAGTGGGCGTTTTCGTTAAATTCAAGGGCAGATAATTTACAATGAAGCGAATTTTTTTTCTTTTAATTTTTTGAAGCTTATATTCGTCTCAGTCAATAGGCAAAATTGCAAGAACAATTTTGAGTGGATAGTTTTTTCCCCACTACTTTTCTACACGTGTGCATTTTTTCTTAAAAATTGGCCTATTTTTATAAAGTTAAAAATAACAGAAACGATATAAGGAATTGCATGTAATTATGTATTGTACTCAACAATAAAAAGAAAAACATTATCCAGAAGTAAAAACAAGAATTCGTTTACGCATGTCTAAGTTATCTGCCCTTTAAATGACCTCAAATAAGTAGAAAATTCTGATTCAGGGGAAGATGACTCAATAACGAGAACGGTGACCCCAATTTTTGTTTCGCTTAGAATGTTTTTGTTATAGTATTCTAACAACATGCCAAGTTTAAAATAATTCTATTGAACAGGTTTAATTTTGCCTATATGTCTATATGAAAACTTCCGAAAACGTCCTAATGAACTTTAGCAAAAATAATTTCTAATATTACATCATATGGCGAGTAATTAATAATCGTCAGGCGATGTGTACTAATCTAACCTGTTTTAAGAATGTTATAGGACTAACTGTTTAATTAATTAATTAATTAATCAATCAATTAATTAATATTTTGAGACAACCTCGAAATATTCTCTTAGTTGTTTGACTCAGTCAATCGTTATCCGTACAAGCTTATCATCTCTATTTAGGGCAACATTTACAATGATTATTTTCTTTGCAAAATAAAGTACACCAAATATATTACGTTCAAAGAAATGATCAAAATAAAAAAATAACATTGCAAAATATCATCCGCCCTGATTGTTGCTGCTATGACAGAACATTTCTAAACGGAAATTATTGACAAACTTAAGCCAGAGAGCAAATACATGTAGTCAATTTTTACAATAAATCGATCATTTTTTACTACATGTATTTCACGTTTACTCAATGATGACGCTGACCACTTTTCTTCATAAAACTTTTAAGTGCCAGGGAGCTGTTAAAAGTATGATTGAAAAATGCTTCAAGGTTTCAGCAAAAGGCTAAAAACAACGTGAAATATATAGCTCGGTTTCTACATGTATAAACACAGGCCCTACATTTAATTGAAATACACCAAATTCAATAGTGTGCTTCATAAAACTTACTATAGATAAAAAAATAAATTTTTACTTTTGCATTTCAAGATTTAATGAATAAACAGACATACAACAGTTCTATATTTATAATATTTCGTATTTTAATATCTCGCATTACACAGGGGACCATATTGATAAAACTGAAATGGAAACAATTAGAGGTGTATGGATAATGCCTGCTCTGATAATCATTTTTTGGTTAAATGGATTACATTTTCTGCAAGTTATAAGAAATATTTTGTGTGCCAGAATATATCAAAAATGCTCCTTTTGCACAATCAGTGTTCATTGATTTAGAGGGAGGTGCCCGTACCCACTTTCTGAATGGGAAACTACCCCTCTCCTCTCTATTTCGCAGCTGCATGCGTCATCAGCAAAACCTGTTTTTTACCTGTATTTGTCTGTATGAAATCTGGTATTATTCAATTTTTATGAAGTATATGAAGTAACCGTCTCATACACTGATGATGGTTAAACATTGAAGACATTAGTTTCCAAAATTACTGGTACAAATATAAATTTTCACAACTCCCTTGCTTATAATCCTTCTATTTCATTAAAATCTAATGCTTTATAACGGATCTAATATTCATATATGGACGACTGTATGCATTTGACCTTTGGTGATTTCCAAAGAACTTACCGAACAAGAGGTTGTGTGTATGTTTTATATTTTTACGGGTCATTATTGTTTGATTGTGTTTGAGCCTATTTTCAGCCATTTCTTTTCTTGATATTTTTTATATTGAAACCCGTGGACAAACGGCAACAAAACTTCATTAAATGACAATGCATGGATTTGGGGCTAACAACGAACTATATAAGGGTGGAATAGCATTTCGTTTTAGCTTAAATGATTGTTAATATTAACCGATTTTCGGTCAGTTTCTTTATCGATAAACCATGCTTAAATTTTTACCCATTGCTCTACATTTTACCAAGAATACAGATTTATATTCCTGAGTTTACTGTTATTTTGTTTACTTTATTTCGATTAATTCTTGTATATTATATAACAAGACAAAGACAAAAGAATAGTTACCAAGAAAGCTTTTATCTTAATTGTTTTACTGCTGGATCATTTTTGTTGCGTGTGTGTAATAGGCAACATTGACATATTGAAGAATCTTAAAAATACTGCAGGCTAAGTTTGATTGAACCTGTTAATACTGTTAATAGACATTGGAAACAAGTGCTAGTTTTTAATATCTCCCCCAAATTTTGAAATCTTAAGCGGAATTTAATATTTAAACATGAAAATGATCAAGGTCAAACCGAGTTGGATAGCTTCCTGAACTGCAAAGAAAAAATAAAAATAAAGAAGAATTAGCTGCCCAACGCCAAAGGACAGACAAGCAACCTTGACTACTTAGTTATGATGGCTCTTGACTCATGTAAATCATTTCTTACTGGTTTTAAGAGTCTTAAAATATCCATTTTGAAAAAGAAACACATGTTTTAACACAACTAGGGCATATTACCTGATACAAGTACAGATCGGAACGTAGCACACGCACGCACGCACGCACACATACACGCACGCACAAACACACACGCACACAGGCACACGCTCACGTACCCTGCACAAAGGACATTTTGTTTTCTATGTGTAAAATGACGAGTCCGGTTACTCTGTATATTTTTTAGAAAGACCATGATTTATATAAAAGAACTCCGGGTGAGATTGAATACTCGCGTGTTTATTAGTTAAGCAGCATAAGTGTCATGAACAACCAATAAGGTCGTTATAAACAAGAACATAACCTAGCTTTGACTACTGTAATGCAGCTTTATTCAGTCAGAAAACCAGAACATGATTAAAATAAAAAATAGTGTGAAGCATTAAAAGAACTGATAATATGTAGTATTATAAATGGGATACAATGTTATTTAAAAACAAGTAAGAACCGTCAACGAATTATATATTACACAATGATAAATATTGGTCCACTTTCGCTCAAAGTTATTGTTAATCACAGATTATCACAAAGATGACATATATCTAAGAGCAATGAATAGAAAGTATATATCAGTAAAGAGTAAAACGCAACACACCAGAAAACAGAACAAATTAAAACAGTGATAACATACACACTTATAACATTATCTCATTTTATCTTCTTGTAGAAGGGTTATCAAAAACAGAGTTTTCATCTCGGGAAGCATGTTATGATCATAAGCATTGTTTTTGAGTTGATGAAGAATGGCATGTCGGATCCCAAACATTTCACTTATTAAGAGTTCAATGCATAATTCATTTTATTCAAACTATTAACATGCATATTTAAAACTTGAAACTGAAAGGTTTCATTAACGTTTTATTTTCTTATACTGCGACACGGAAACATTCTGTTTGACTATTATTTTCTGAATATGAGAGAATGTTAGTAGTTCTTTGTAAGTAAAATATTGATTTGACTGCCAAATTTATCATTGGTGACGTATTAGCTCTTCGTAAATTAGAAGTGTACACGATGAGCTTCTACTTATGAAACAATTCAGCCCTAAAATGAAACATACTGTACATACCATTTTCAATGCCTGATTTTTGCCTTAAAACTACTTAAAACAAAAAGTTGATTAGAATTATTAATGGAATTTAAAAGACTGGCTGTTTACGTGTTGCAAGCAGCCTGTTTATCTGTAATGCATGGTGCGTTCATAAGTCAGTTTTTAACGGAATAAAAGTAAAGAGGAGACGCATATTTATCAGGCTATGTTAGTCACATCTTAAGATCGACTGCGATACTAACTTACAGAAGTTAACAATTGTCAAAATATAAGCGCTGAATTAATTTAACAGAATAAATTTATATCAAGTATGTAATGCTTTTTGACGGTATTACATCTCTGCGTTTGTGTGTTTGTTTATTGAGCTCCCTGGAAACTCTACATTATTCCGAAAGTACAATCTTGTTGTGTTTAGTTAACAATGGTGAGAACTGTACTCATTATTATTTACGAATCAATGGCACGTCTGGGATGTATTTCGGATTAATA